TGATTTAATATGCAAATTAAAGATTACCTGTAGATTAGACACCCCAGCTTATTACACCTGATGATTAAATACCCAAACTTTACTGGGGGTTAGGTTAGGTTATGATGGGAAAAACTTCATAGAAAAATCACAGGAATTAGTCACTTTTTTAATAAGCAAAAGTTGTTATTGTTGATGATTAAAACGAATATTCCAGTGGACAAACCTGTACATATCACGCCATTACATTTATATTTAACAATATTGCGAGCGTGTTTTAAATAGCTTAAATATGGTAAAGTAATTAAACTAAAATCTCTGAGTAATTTATAATGATAACAATAATAATAATATGCCTCGGTCCCCGTGTTCAGATCTTGACTACAATTGACGTCATTACCAGATTAGTGGCAAACATGTAGTCTGTGTGAGGGTACTGGGTGAGGGTACTGGGTTAATAATTATTAGAGTACTGTATTGTCTTAATTATATTCAGTTTTTAATGCTGATGTGTGATAACCTCTCGGTCCTCACCCTGAGTCTACTACTGTACTATTACTACTACTACTGTTATTACTACGGCTAGCAATAATAATACTAATAATAATAATAATAATAATAATAATAATAATAATAATAATAATAATAATAATAAAAATAATAATAATAATAATAATAATAATAATAATAATAATAATAAATAATAATAATAAAAATAATAATAATAATAATAATAATAATAATAATAATAAAAATAATAAATAATAATAATAATAATAATAATAATAATAATAATAATAAATAATAATAATAAAAATAATAAATAATAATAATAAATAATAATAAAAATAATAAATATTGATAATAATAATAATAATAATAATAAAATAATAATAAAAATAATAAATAATAATAATAATAATAATAATAATAATAATAATAATAATAATAATAATAATAATAATAAAAATAATAAATAATAATAAAATAATAATAATAATAATAATAATAATAATAATAATAATAATAACAACAACAATAATAATAATAATACAGTTGTTCACGAGGCGGTACAATACTTGACACATCAGTAGGTCGCTGCACAGTACCTACTCATCCGTCAACAAAGCTTTTACTCTGCTGATTTACTACTGGATGACATGAACTAATTATTAAACGACGCCAAATATTAACAAAAAAATCCTCATTACTGTCCGGTATATATTTACAAGTTTTATTGACGATCCCTCCCCCCCCCACCCCCCCCCACACACACGCTAAGAGTTGTTAAGAGTTGGTATTACACACACGCTAAGAGTTGGTATTACATAAGCTTCTAGTACGAGTTTATTTCCCTCGTGAGAACAAGACCGTAGAGGTAACCCGGCCATCAACTGACACGCCACAGTGAGAGTCGTGGCCCTCAATTTACGCAAGTTTACCATTCACTCCTCTTTGGCTCATACTGCAATATTGTAGCCAAGATTTTCTCAGTTTAACGTAAGACACCTCAGTATTCTTTCTCGCCATGAAGTATATTATTCAAACTATGTACACTACTTTTTTCCACTCTATACTTACGACTGAACACAACTCTCCTTATATTTCCGTCGTGATACACTATTGTACCACGCCTGTAACACAATACTGCACTTGTACACACGTCTCGCTCACTCACTGAAAAACACTTCGATGCTTCTCTACCATAAGGCTAGTGGTTAATAAGAACGTGAAACTTGGGATCACTCACTAGACAATAAAATATACCACAACAAAACTGCCAGTGAGTGTTTACACCAGGGGCCGCACCTGCCATCAGAGACTCTGAGGTCGCTTGTGTTATAAGAGGACGCTAGGTGGAGTCTCTTTAACCTTTAAGTTCTTTGATAATTCTACTTTTATTACTATTACTATTACCACTACTTCTATTACTACTACTACTACGAATAATAATAATAATAATAATAATAAAATAATAATAATAATAATAATAATAATAATAATAATAATAATAATAATAATAATAATAATAATAATAATAATAATAATAATAATAATAATAATAATAATAATAATAATAATAATAATAAGCGTACAGAGACTAGAGGGAAATAATGCCAACCAGATATGTCAGCATCGGTTCCTTTTCGCGGGCGGCAGAAGCGTTCGTGCGTAGTATGTTGTTGGGACTACCTGGTATTAATGAATGAGTGCTTGTGTTGACGATTGCGAGTGTTTGTGCTGGCGTTGCTGAATGCTTGTGTTGGCATTGACTGCTTACCTAACACACCTCCCCTCCCTCCTCACTCCTCCCCCTCACAACACCACTCCATCCCCCTCACAACACCACTCCTTCCCCTCACACCAACACCCTTCCTCCTAACCACCCCATCCTCTCTTACTACCTCTTACTCCCCCACTACACCAGCTCCTTCCTCACCCTCCCTTAAGTGGTTGTTCCCTCATCACCTGATTGGCTCGTTAGATAAGATGGTTGTCTCCCTGACGAACCATAGCGTGTGAGGGAGACTCTCCATAACTCTGTGGTTCTTTCAGTGATTGTGTGGTAAAGTGTGATTGTGTGTGGTGTGTGGTAGGGTGTGATTGTGTGGTAGAGTGTGATTGTGTGGTAGTGTGATTGTGTGTGGGTGTGGGGTAGGGTGTGATTGTGTGGTAGTGTGATTGTGTGTGGTGTGTGGTAGGTGATTGTGTGGTAGTGTGATTGTGTGTGGGGTGTGTGGTAGGTGTGATTGTGTGGTAGTGTGATTGTGTGTGGGTGTGTGGTAGGGTGTGATTGTGTGGTAGAGTGTGATTGTGTGATAGTGGATTGTGTGTGGGGTGTGTGGTAGGTGTGATTGTGTGGTAGTGTGATTGTGTGGGGTGTGTGGTAGGGTGTGATTGTGTGGTAGTGATTGTGTGTGGGTGTGTAGGGTGTGGGATTGTGGTAGAGTGTGATCATGGTAGGTGAATGTGTGTGGTAGGGGTGTGGATTGTGTGTGGTATGGTGTGATTGTGTGGGTATGTGGTAGAGTGTGATTGTGATAGGGTGTGATTGTGTGGGTGTGTGGTGGTAGAGGTGATTGTGTGTGATAGGGGTGTGATTGTGTGGTAGGGTGATTGTGTGATAGGGGTGTGATAGGGTGATTGTGTGGTAGAGTGTGATTGTGTGTGGGTGTGTGGTAGAGGTGATTGTGTGTGATAGGGTGTGATTGTGTGTGGGTGTGTGGTAGAGTGTGATTGTGTGTGATAGGGTGTGATTGTGTGTGATAGGGTGTGATTGTGTGGTAGGGTGTGAGTGTGTGTGGTAGAGTGTGATTGTGTGTGGGTGTGTGGTAGAGTGTGATTGTGTGTGATAGGGTGTGATTGTGTGTGATAGGGTGTGATTGTGTGGCACAGTGTGATTGTGTGGTAGACTGTGATTGTGTGGTAGGGTGTGATTGTGTGGTAGGGTGTGGTAGAGTGCGATTGTGTGGTAGAGTGTGGTAGGGTGTGATTGTGTGGTGGAGTGTGGTAGGGTGTGATTGGGTGGGCATATGATTGTGTGGTACATCTTAAGTAGGTGTCCTGTTACGAAAGACAGACAGTCAGACAGACAGACTGAGGCCTGTATCCCTAAGGCACCCGTCTTGTACAGGCAGGTAACCGTCTCGACAGGTAATTGCCTCGTTAGGGTAGTTTACGTTATCAGATGGTTGTTACAATGGGCGTTTGATGGTCGTTAGTGGTTGATATGACCAACTGATAACGAGCAATTATCTTGGCCTTGAAATACCTGTCCAAAATGTCCCACAAGAAATTACCTGTCTAAATTTCCTATAACAAATTACCTGTCTAAAATAACCCATATTAAATCTAAACTAAGAAAGATATTGTCAAAAATGTCCACTATTTTTGTTAAATATCTCAAAGAAAACCACCAAATGTTTTAAATGTAAATTATTAAATTATCTAAAGTAAACACGAACACCAAATGAGTCTTGAGAAAATAATTGTCTTTAAGTCAAAAAATATCACCAAGACAATCCTTAAAATGTCGACAAAGAAAACACCAAAAAAACAAGGCATGAAATGTCATTAATAAAATCCTTTTAAACTAAGCAAATATTATATCGTCACCAAGCAAATCATACGTCACAATCATACGTCACTTAGAATATCACACATCACTTAGAATATCACACATCACTTAGAATATCATACGTCACTTAGAATATCATACGTCACTTAGAATATCATACGTCACTTAGAATATCACACATCACTTAGAATATCACACATCACTTAGAATATCATACGTCACTTAGAATATCCTACGTCACTTAGAATATCCTACGTCACTTAGAATATCATACGTCACTTAGAATATCCTACGTCACTTAGAATATCATACGTCACTTAGAATATCTTACGTCACTTAGAATATCATACGTCACTTAGAATATCATACGTCACTTATATATCATACGTCACTTAGAATATCATACGTCACTTAGAATATCCTACGTCACTTAGAATATCTTACGTCACTAAGAATATCTTACGCCACTATATCATACGTCACTAAGAATATCTTACGTCACTTAGAATATCACACGTCACTACATCATACGTCACTAAGAAAATCGTTCACTGTCCTCTTGGAGAAAACTCATTCACAAAGTCACTTATAAAATTCGGGTTAAAACCTTCTATATCACTATTTCATCCGGTTGTCACTTTACACCTCACCAAAGTCATTACACACAAATGAAACTTTTAATTCTTCGTTCACAATATATTTCTGTTTCCTTATAATTATCTTTTCTTTTTTTCGTAATTCGTTTAATTTCATGTTTTAGTTTTTCGTTTAATTTTCGTATTTCTGTCTGTTCATTTTTTCCCAGGACGCTGAGGGAGGGGAAGACACCACGTCGATACAATATTGGGAATAAAACAATAACACACCACGAGGGGGTGGTTGTGGGGCATGATGGGGAGGCATATAGTATATAGGTTTTGGTGCCCTGGCTGCCCTTGCCTACCTTGGTGGCGTCGCGGGTGGGGGGCGGTGGTGGAGCTGGTGGTGGTGGTTGTGGTGGTAGAGATGATGATGGTGGTGGAGGTGGTGGTGGTGGAGAGGTAGGGGAGGAGGAGGAGGGTTGGGCCGTCCATGCCTAAGCGTCGTTCCAGCCTCCACCCACCACACTGGTCGGCCACCAGCTGCCGCAGTCCACACACAGCATCGCGCAATCAATAACACCTCCACGATGCCACACACCGCTACTCTGACACCTGCCCCTCTGCCCCTACCCAAACACCCACCCTACCCCAGGGCACCCATGTGGGGCTCCCTAGTTCCCACTCTACCCTGGGGTATCCGGTCCGGGTCATGGGGTACCGGTAAGAAGCATAACACAGTAATAGTAACACACCGCGCCGTCGCAGCCTCCGTCGCCAGGGGACTCCCCACCACCCTCCCCACCACCCCCCTCCCCCTCCTCCCTTCAGACACTACCAACTTTTAGGAAAGTGTAGAATGTAATGAAAGCAGTAAGAGGCGCCCGTACTACACTCTCCCCCGTGACTCTTGTCTCCTGACACCTCCCGTGACTGTTGCCTCGTGACACCTCCAGTGACTGTTGCCTCGTGACACCTCTCGTGACTGTTGCCTCGTGACACCTGCCGTGACTCTTGCCTCGTGACACCTCTCGTGACTCTCGCCTCGTGACACCTGCCGTGACACCTCACGTGACTCTCGCCTCGTGACACCTGCAGTGACAATTTCGTCGTGGAAACTGGCGTTACATGTGCTGTGACACTTGATCGTGACCAAAACTGGACCATCTCGCATCCACAGGTGCTACCTATACCTCCCCACGCTCTCATATAAGGGGAAGGTGATTAACAGGTACCTTCACGCTCAACAGGTACTGCAAGTACCGTAGTTACCTGGTGTTACTAGGGTGAAGTGGTACCATAGTAACTGTGGTACTGTTAGAAGAGGGTTACCAAAGAGCCGTTTACTGAAGCCTTTTATTACAACTGGCATCTGAGACACACACTACAGACTAAAATGATTATTATTAATTAACTAACATACGATATATATGCCAGGATATATCGACCTAAAAGAAAGTTATACAACCCACATAACAAACAGTAAATGTCCTCATAAAAGTATCAAGAAAATATATCCTTGTAAAAATTATCAAGGCACAAAGTTACAAAAATATCACAAGAATAAATATCCTTGTAAAACTATGGAATCCACTCATGAGATCTTAAGTTGGCGACCCTGGATGAGGAAGATGGTAAGGGATGATGACTCTAAATATTTGGTAGTTGTAGGTGGAGAAAATGGGGAGTGAGAGGGCATAGAGAAACTGAAGAAAACGTGATTAGGAGAGGATAGGGAGTAAAGAAAACGGGCGACGTGGAGAATAGATAACAAATAAAGAATATGTAAGAGTAAACACAGAAGAAAACAAGATATTAAGCGAGAAGACAATAAATATAGGTATAGAAGACAAAATAAAATACATACGAGATAAACAAGTAAACAGACACATGAAACAGGCAGAAGAAGAGAATTAATTAAAGGAACAAACACACAGACAAACACAGACAGGCGACATAAACTGAAGGAGACACAGTACAATAAAACGACACGCAAACACAAGGAAACATAAAAACAGGACATAAACAAGGGTGCAAACAGTATATTGACAACAGAACATAACAGGTGAATAAACAGCATACGTGACACCATACTTATACGTGACACAACAGGTGTATAAACAGAATTATTGACAAACATATATGACAGGTATAATTAATTGATCACACAGGTAAGAGAACAACCAATTAATAGGAGGAGGAAGAAGAGGAGAAGATAGAGGAGAAGAAGTAGGAGGAAAAAGAGGAGGAAGAGTGGTAGGAGGAGGAGGAGGAAGAGTGGTAGTAGGAGGAGAAGGAAGAGTGGTAGGAGGAGGAGAAGGAGGTGGTAGGAGGAGGAGGAGGAGGAGGAATTGACCTAATTTATCAAACAGGTAACCCGGTCAATTATTGCGAACACTGAGGTCATCCAGGCAGCAAAGACCAAGGTGACGAGTTGTGTGTCGACAGTTGCAGTGAATTGTGTAGGAGAGTAACAAAGAGGAATGTCTGAGGTGATTGATACTTTATGGTGGATATAGTATTAAGTGATGGTGACTGTGAACGATTACCTTTTCTTCTTTTTATTTTTTACAGATTAATGAAACAGTGGAGAGGTAAGTTGATTGTTTACAAGGGTGAGTAAATTTAAATTGTGGTTTTCAGAGGCAATAAGATAAGAGAGGAGAAGTGAAAATTGCTGTTTATGTTGCAGTAAAGTAAGGTTACGGGAGCAGTGGTTGTGCTGGAGACAGAGAGAACGTTTATGTAACAAACGGTTGAAATTCAGAGGTAATGTTGAGTACTGAAGAGAAGAATGGAAGTTATGGGATCATAGAGGTTTTGGAAGACTTTGTTGACTTGGGGCCTCTGGTGATGGATCAGAGGAAGGAGGTGAGGCTCTCAGGGGTCCTGGATTGGCTCGAGAGTGTACCAGACGCCAGTTCCTTCGTTGTAGACACGACCAGTCTCTGGGTCGAAGCTCAAGCCAGACAGCGCAGGAGGCTCCACCGACTTAGTCACAGCGCTCACCACTTTAGACTCTGTGGCTTGTGTATCTTCACCCGCTGCTGCTGGGGTCTTAGTGTTGACAGCTGCGGCGTCTGTCTCCAGCCCAGAGCGGTGACCAAAACCTGTTGTTGGGAAGATGACGCGAGGTGCTGGGGCGCTCTGGGTGACGGCGGGAACTCGTTGTGATACTCTTCTACCGCCAGAGCTACTGATGGGAGAAGAGGGAACGGCGCTCTGGGGGTAGAAACTCTGCCCGACAATCTCTGGGGGGAGGTAAGGGTTGAAGCCCAGCAGTTCAGGGAAAGCTGAGAGACTCTCTCCCTCTTTGCTGAGGTCTGGAGCGGCGCTCCCACTGTTCTTCTTGTACTCGAAGGTCTGCTTCTTGTTGTAGTACTGATAATTCTTCTTCCCCAGTCCTGAGTCCTTATCTACTCCTACTTTATTTTGGACCTTCTTGGGGGTCTTCTTCTTGGGCCTGTAGTCGTCACTAGACTCGTACACCTTGCTGGGCCCGGCAGTGCCTTCCCTCTTAGCCAGCTGGGACACGGTGCGGCTGGAGGCGGCGACGGTGGGGGGTTCAGAGTCAGGAGATGCAGCGACTGGGTGGGCGTACTCTGGTACCGGCTGGCTGTGGTAACCCCCGTGGTCCTACCAGCACACAGACACACACCAGCGTTAACATATTATAGCTAAATTATTTCAGCCATGCAACAGAGAGAGAGAGAGACTTTAAACTCGGGTGTGACTGTGCCTCGCTAAGTAATAACTAGACTATCCTCTATCACAACACAACATGGTGAGGTAGTGTGTCGTGCAAGATGCTTCACCTGTGCCCAGCCTTGAGGTATGGAGAGCTTTAAAATGGTCTTGGGAATGTCACTTATAACCCGGCTAAAACTGTCACTGGCACCGTCTAAAGTGTGAGATCTTACTACGTCAACCATCCTTGTGAAATACCTCCCTCATTACTACCATGGACCCCATTACTCAACGACCATTACTACCATGGACCCCCTCATATTGCATACGACCCCCCATTACTACCAACGACCCCCCATTACTACCACCAACGACCCCCATTACTACCAACGACCCTCATTACTACCAACGACCCCCCATTACTACCATGGACCCCCCATTAATACCAACGACCCCTCATTACTACCAACGACCCCTCATTACTACCAACGACCCTCATTACCAACGACCCCCTCTATTACTACCATGGATCCCCTACTACCAACGACCCCCTCATTACTACCAACGACCCCCTCATTACTACCAACGACCCCCTCATTACTACCAACGTACATCCTGGGATTAAAAATAAACTAAACAACAGTAGATGATAAGGTACAATAAGTCCTAAGTAGAAGAGATGGAGGTGGGTGTGGTTACAGAAGCCCATACTAGAGTAAAAAAAAAAGGGACAAATAATTCCAGCCAGGGAAGCTACAAGTGCCTTGATTTTAAAATATGTTCAGTACAAGACCAACCAACCAACCAACCTCCTGTCTCTTGTCAATAGCCTTCTCACTCCTCCCTCCTCTTCCTTTTTTTTTATTTAATTTTTTTTCTCATTAATATTACTGTAATTTCTCACTACTAAAGCGTCTTGCCCATTGAGAATAAATCAGTAGTAATATATTGACTCTTCACGATATATTAACGTGATATTCTGATGATAATTTTTTTTCATTATTTTGGGGTGAATAAATCTGAATTATTCTTTATTAGTGAATCACATTTCAGTATCACGAGTAAAAAAGGTAATTAAGTGTTGGTCATAGGAAGAGTGTACGTATTATACTAACGTCATGTCCGTAGCTGTCGTGTCCGTGGTCGTCGTGTCCGTAATCGCCGTGTCCGTGATCGTCGTGTCCGTAGCCGTCCTGAAACGTGAGACGGTATATAAGCGAGGGAGGAAGCGGGCCGGACCAACCATAGCAGCCGGATACTCACGTGAGAAACATTCCTCGCCGCTAAGAATATAAACACGTACAGTACCTCTAACTAATTAACTTGAGATAATGAACACAAATAACATCCACAACACCATCAGTTTTTTACTAACTTCTGCTAAAGACACGTTAAACTAGACACATTATTACGTGAAACAATCCTTTCCTAAAATTTAGACTTTTAGTTTGTTTTTGTCCTTTATCAAGTGAACGTATCTAAAGTAATGTGTCTGTATAATTTCAATGTTATTCTTACATCTTCAGGCACACTACTGTAGGAGGAAGACTCACTGTGGAAACTTTTTGTGAATTTGGTGTCAAAGTTTCAAAGTTTCGCGTGTTATATTTTCCCTTAACTGGAGAATGAGAAAATAAATAATACATCTATTGACGATGAATATTGTAGCTCCTAGCACATATGAGCGTCACTGCTGGCATAACTCTGATGAACATTCGTCTAGCGTAGCACATATTATATGGTAGAAGAGATCGCCAGGTGTTTATGAGTGCCTGTGCCGGTAAAGGTGATTTTTTTTTATTCCACGCGTTTACGGGAAGACTAACAAATCAACGTGTGTATCTCTGGAGTGTTAAGGCCAGGCACAGCTCCTTGTATGTGTGACCTTTGGCTGGAGGACACACAGGAGAGCTGACCTTTGTGGTACACCGTGGCGCTATAATGTAAGGCCCACCAGGTGTAGTGTGAGGAGCCACCAGGTGTAGTGTAAGGGGCCACCAGATGTAATGTGAGGGGCCATCTGACACACCTACCATGGTCCATCTTCTCCCTTGTACGTGTCCGTGTCAACAAATCATGACCCACAAACTCAAAATATGGACAACCTCCAAAAAACACTAATGTCTTCAGTATTCCTCAAGTTTTGTCGTAAAAACTTCCCCTTAAAGTCGACTAAAACTTCTAGTACAATGAATTCAAGTAAAAGCTATTAACTAACTTTTATAACAATTACAACTATTATTTTACGTACGTGCAGCTACACAACCAAGCTAAGTTGAGGAGCAATACTCACGTCGTGGTGGTCGTCGCCGTGTCCGTACCCTCCGTGGTCGTCGCCGTGTCCGTACCCTCCGTGGTCGTCGCCGTGGTGATCGTCCTGTAGAAAGATTAAACAATCAGAACTACCATGACCTTAACATCCCTCATAAGGTTCAAATCACCTTTTTTAAATATCTACACTACAACCCTGATCCTCTAAAATCTTGACATTATTATTCTCATAGATGAAGACACGAGAATGCACCTACTGGTTGATATAAAGTTCAATCACAAGGTAGAACGTTTAATATGACATTACACTGAGACCCTGCTTTAACTAGATACGTTCAATAAACACAAATTAGGAGAGAATCCTGACCTACGAATCTCAGTGAATCTCGACTCAAGACTACCAATGGTTTTATGATAAAGACTCAACCCTAACTGAATAGAAAAGAACACATCTGGTAACGGTAGAGTCTCGGGATAATTATGCAGCCATTTTTATGTAGTAATTAATGCGAGAACGTTACATACAACCTGATATCTCCCCAAAAACGTGTAAAAATTTATCGTATGGAAATTTGGGGAACTGTCTGGTACTCACATGGTACTTAGGGGCGTGGTTGTAGTCCCAGTAGTGTTCACCGTGGCCACCCTTGGCGTCCTCCCACCTCACCTGCCGGACACACACACACATTCAGTATAATTAAAACACAAAAACATCAATAATAATGATAATAGTAGTTGTAATAATAATAATAATAATAATAATAATAATAATAATAATAATAATAATAATAATAATAATAATAACAGTGATATTTTGCCCTGATTAATGATAACGCTACCAGCAGGGGGAGGGGGAGGAGGGGTAATTACTATAGGTTAGGTTACGTTAGGTTAGGTTAAGGTCTTTGATTATCAGGTGATATATACTTGGGTGCCTAATCTTCAGGTGATCCAATAAATGTTTCGGAAATCAACAGAAACGGAGATAAAGACATGAACTGTTCCCCAAATGTACTGTAAGAGCTAGTGAAGTAACATGAGGGGAGTAACCTTAGTCTTGAAGTTGTGGTGTGGTCCAGCCTTTTCGTACCTCTCGATGTTGTGGTAACCGTTGCCTCGCTTGTACCCGAATTCATACTCCTTCTTGGAGGGCTGGTGAGCGTACCTACCGTTATAAATGGAGAGAAGGGGAACGGTTACTAATTGTTTTCAAATATTCTAACACAGAAAATAGAATATTGAATTAATTACGAGGTTTTTGGGGAAAGGAGATTCAGATGGAAGTGCAAATTATTTATGACGATTCAAAACTAATTTGAACAATGGAAGTCATGTACATATGTTAATGCAGTCACATGCTGTACACATAGTTGTATATAGTACTCACATGAAGTACTTGCCGTCGTCGTGTCCTCCTTGTCCACCTCCGTGTCCGTATGTGGCGGCAACAGCTAGGTCAGTGGAGGCCGCTACACCCACCGTCTCCGCTCCTACACACAAACACTCCTTCACTTACTTGTACACAAAGATGAACTTAACAAATCATAATCAACGTGGAAATATGATTAATTATTAAACTGGTGAAAACTAATTGATTATTAATTACTTAAATATAATTAGTTATAAAAGTAATGTGATTTTTTAAAATATTATAAACTGTTTATCAAATTGATGACAATGTTAGAAGAATGGACTTAAAAGACTTGACTACCATATCACCTTAACTACAATTGTTATCTTTCTTAACTATCAATAAATAATTACATTTTTATTTACCTTAACTATAAACAAAGAGACTAAGATCACCAGAACAGGACATGGTTATAACTACAACAAATAACACCTCCACAACACCAGAATACAGAGTCGAAAATTCAGCATCTAATCCAAAGCTGTAACTTACTTTGTCGAGGGTAGGAATTACAAGACAGCCTTTAAGCGCGAGATCTTTGATGTCACGGATGTGTCTTAATGTTTCAGACATGTGGAGAGTATGAATGAGAAATGTAAACACTGAGAGACATTAGAATATTGATCAGGAGGAGGAAGAACGCTAGCGGGGTGTTTCTGAAGTAGGTGGAGGTGGAGGAGGAGGACATTTCTGCAGCAATTGGAAACAGGTGTCAATAGTGGACGTTGAAAGAGAACTCGGGTTGTATGGAGACTGAGTGAAATACAGAAGAGGTTTTGTCCAGCGTCACACATACAGAGGTTTTGTCTCAACAGTGCAGAGTCTTCACAAGTGGATAATGAATATGAAGAACATCAAGGAATGACGATCGTACTCATGATCGTTCGTTTACTTTTGTTTTGTAATTATCAAATCGCTTCTGTGCTTCATCTTGACGTGTCTGAACTTGTAACAGAGTGAAACCATCGAGACAGAAAACAGTAACATACTGTATGATTTAATTACACCCCACAACACACCCCACAGCTCCACCTGCCCCACAACACACAGACCAGTTCACACACCCCACAGCTCCTCCTGCCTGCCCTTACACAGACCAGTTCACACACCCACAGCTCCTCCTGCCCCCCCAACACACAGACCAGTTCCACACACAGCTCCTCCTGCCCCCACAACACACAGGGCCAGTTCACACACCCCACAGCTCCTCCTGCCCCAACACAGACCAGTTCACACAGCTCCTCCTGCTCCACAGCACAGCCAGTTCACACACCCCACAGCTTCACAGCAACACAGACCAGTTCACACAGCTCCACCTGCCCCACAGCAACACAGACCAGTTCACACCCCACAGCTCCTCCTGCTCCACATAGCACAGACCAGTTCCACACCCCCACAGCCACCACACACAGCAACACAGACCAGTTCACACACACCCCACAGCTCCTCCTGCCCCCCCAGCACCAGGTTCCACACCCCACAGCTCCTGCCCCCCAACACACAGACCAGTTCACACACCCCACAGCTCCTCCTGCTCCACAGCAACACAGACCAGTTCACACACCCCACAACTCCTCCTGCCCCACAACACACAGACCAGTTCACACACCCCACAGCTCCTCCTGCCCCACAACACACAGACCAGTTCACACACCCCACAGCTCCACCTGCCCCACAGCAACACAGACCAGTGAATGGTAGTGTCACTTCAATTACTGTGAGGTTCGGGAGGCTGTGTTGTTGGTCTTACCTAGCTGGTCCGCAGGCGTCTGCTGCTGTTGCTGCGCCCACACCACCGGCGGGAGGCAGCTGCACACACAAACCGCTACCGCCATTGTCACCGCCAGACTCTGTAGGAACCATCATGGGTTATTATGGTGATAAAGAATACTCGGGGAAGGCGAGGGTCACCTTCTCAAAGGTTAGTGAGTTAAATATTCCTCTTAACCGGACATGTAAAAATACATCTAACTGTCTCACTTAAATGACTACACATGGAATATACCTTATGACGCACGAGGAGGAATAACGCCTTTAATACAAAATGTGTAGCACCTGAGGGAGGCCAGAGGTGTTGCCGGTAACTGAGTCTTCACCACCACGCGAGGGAGACTTTATACCACCCGACACACTCACCAGGTCAAGGTCGTCCCCACACCTGCTTACAGCCCTAGTTTTATAAAGAAATTTTCATACTACAATAGAACTTTCTCTCTCTTGTTAAAGAACTCTTTCTCGTGTCAGAGAAATCCCCTCCCGCTCTTTGCCATACAACTCCCTCCCCCTCTCTTGCTATAGAGCTCCCCCACTTTCTTGTCAGAGCTCCATCTCTCTTGTCATAGAGCTCCCCCTCTCTTGTCATAGAGCTCCCCCACTCTCTTGCCATAGAGCTCCCCCCTCTCTTGTCATAGAGCTCTCCCTCTCTCTCTCGTCATAGCCCCTCTCTTTCTTAGAACTCCCCTCTCTCGTCATGAGCTCCCCCCTCTCTTGTCACAGGCTTCCCCTCCTCATCATAGGCTCCTGTCTGGGCTTCCCCTCCCTCTTGTCATTAGAGCTCCCTACTCTTGTCAGCAGCTCCACACTCCTCTTAGAGCTCCCCTCCTTGTCATCTGTCGTTACTCACCATCCTCCTGGGTTCGACCATCCCCTGCTGTTGCTACGACTGGCTGTGATGCTGAATAGCCCTTGAGCACTCGTATATATACCACCCATCCGGCCACCCCCCCCTCCCCCACCAAAACTCGTAAGCACCCCAATGTGTGACGGTCACCCATTCCCAGGCAGGTCAAGAGCACAACCTCTACATCACCCACAACTTTTTGGAGCTTCTAAACTTGAAACTAAAAACGCCCCCCCATCCCCCGTCACCCCCGCCAGCTGTACCCCTCCCCCATGCCTCGTCTCACCTCATTTACTCCTTTCTTTATGCTTTCACGACTTACTTTCTGCTTTTTTACGTTGTCTGTGTGACGTGGAGGTGGCAAGAAGACCCGCGACGAGGGGAGAGAATGGTGATAAAGAAGATGAAGAGGGGAATGAAGGAGAGGAAGAGGAGAAGAAGAGAGATGGATGAAGCGGAAACGGAAGAAGGGGAAGAGGAAAAGACAGTGTAAGAGGGAAATACATTGTAGGATAAGGAGGAAAATACATTGGAGGATAGATGAATAGACAGAGGAAGACAAAAGAAAGGAAAAGAAGGGGAAGGAAGAGTAAAAGACAGAGAGGAAAAACAGATAAAGAGAAGACAGGAGGAGGAGGAAGCGGAAGAAGAGTAATAAACAAAAGGAAGAGAAAATGAAAAGAAGTGGAAAAGGTAGATAAAAAACAAAGAAGAGAAATAAAGATATGAGACACACAAAAGTTAAATGTTAATGGGGTAACTGTCACCTAATCCAGGGTCCTCGTTCTCAAAGGTTCGTACGTGTACTTGAATCCGCGGGCCCTGGGGTCGTACGTGTACTTAAGTCCACGGGCCAAGGACAGGGTCACAGATTGCCATTAGGAAAATTTACGCATCTACATAAACGAACACAATGCATAGGAAATGGCATCAATCGATTTTAAGTGGTCAGTTTACGAGTTCGTTAATTTTAGTGTGTGTGTGTGTGTGTGTGTGCACGGTTCCGAAAATCAGTGCCAAACTAACTTTATCCCCTAAACATTACAAACTGTAAGTACCAGCTCTGACGCTCAAAGTTGGCTGGACCCTCGTTTTTTTCTTCTCTTTTTTGGTCCATTGCTAACTAAAATTATCTTTATACACACAGAATCGCCTGAACTTTTCGCAACGTAACCAAATTAAAATGTTCGACGCCAACACTCCAGTAACGAGCACTTAGTCTATCATGAAGTAAGTAGATTCCCCCACCTATTATCTATGAAAAAATATCCTACCTGTCGAGTGAGGAATCAAGTGAGGCGACACCAGGCAGCGCTGTCACCAGTCCACTTCCTCCCGTTGCGAGAAATCAATTTTGCGCTGACGACGACACACGCTCTCGACTTGTAAGAATCCACAAAATAAAATCCTCTCACCCCCTCCCTCCCATCATTTTTATATGCCACTTGTTGCATTACACCGTTTACCGTTACAGATATTCTTCAATGACAAAACTTCTATAAACAATCTGAGCACCACAAGACAATCAAATGAACATCTATTATTTAACCAAGCCATACCCGAGATCAATAAAGGTGTCACAACCGTACATTAAACAATTTACTAATAACCCATACAGCACCTCAAGGATAACTGTACAGTATATACCAGAGCTGAATTGCTGATATTCCTCACACAGTGCAGGGAGAGGCAGACACGTCGAGTGAGTGCTGGCTGACCACAGGAGCGCTCGGCCTTTAATGTTAGGTGGTGTTTACGGTATCATGGCTCAACGCCTTTGCAGATGACTAGTAACTCAGAATAATTACAATTAAAGAGTACATTACACAAAATCAACGAAAACCGTATTTGACCTACACGAGAAAATGCACACAAACTGTATTACTTATATGAAATGAACAGAAACCCTATCACAATTGCAAAAAAATCCTATCACAAATACCCGATCACAGGTGAACAAGCGAGCCTGACAGGGCGCCACCAGGCAGTTCAGTCAATCTAGTGCAGAACCAAAGCCGTCACCAGTCATTTGTTTCATTGTGGTGGTGCTAGAAAGTGGAGTCTCCTGATGGTGATCCATTCTTTACGGAGGCACAGTCAGACCAGCAAGAAGTGACCGCCAGGATTGTGAAGGAGAGGAATGGGGGTGATGTGAATTTGAGGAAATTAGAGGGATGGGGGGCAAACTTGAGTGATTTGAGGAAATAGAGGAGAGTTGGGAGGGTGAAATGTTGAAGTGAGGATGGAAGTTGAAATGAGAGAAAGGTTAGAAGTTGGGTGGAGGGAGAGAGATGGGGAAGCATGAGCTTTCCTTTCTCTTTTTATTCACAGGCGACACGTTGTGCAGATTTGCAGTACCCGGCAAACGATTTTTCATGTCCATGTGCCCGGCGGATGAGCCAATATTTTAAGAGGAAGATTCCTACAACATGTGAAGGTAATTCATCTCTACATTAAGCCACCAACCAGCCTCTAGTCAGTCGGGTCAAGTTGTCAGCATTTCAAAGGAACCACCAAGTGGAGTGGCTGTAATTTCAGGTAGGGGGTTATTTTGTTAACAGTTCTGGTGGAAAGGTGGCTGTGGTATGGCTATTAAGCAATCACTGATTGAACAGCTTTCTAGTCTACGCAGCCGCCATACATAAAATAAACGGCCAGGAACCCAGTAACTCACTAGACCTACGTACTTTTAAAAAAATCAATGGTCAAGTGTACATTCACACCTTTCAGAAACCAAGAAACTCGGGCCGGTTCAGCTGTCCAGTTTGGTTCAGAAACCGCTTAACTTGCAAACTAATGTACCCAGCCCATTCAAAGCATAGATCTACAGTACAATGGAGGACCACTTACATTTAGACAATTATTTTGTGGCCCAGTGAGCATTTGCAAACTGGTGCTATAGTTTAGTTCCTATATTAAAGCATTGGACTTTGATATAGCTGCAATCACTGCAGTATTTGAAATGGACAACATTTTAGCTTGATTGCAGCACCCTTCATGTGCTTGCATCTATTATGTCTTTGTAGTTCAATTCTGGGTATACAGTATGTACAGATAATAGTGTAGGTCAACAGCAAATGTAACTTTTGGTAATAGTGGTAGTGAAAAATAACTTAAGTACTGTACTATTTACTATTGCTGCTATAAAATTTACCTATAATTACTCCAACTGTGATCCCTAGTTGTAGTACTTCCCCAATTTTACTAAAATACATTCATAAAAGTTTCCTCTTCCCTTATAAGTTTGAAAACGAATATTTTGCATGGGCATTCCACCATGTACAGGATGTTGGATATCAATTTCTACTAGAAAATTTGGGATTCCAGTTCCGGGGAAGCTGTCTATTCACTTCCAACTGTATAAACTTAAGTACCCCCCTTCAAATGGGTTAGAAAATAACAAGCAGGTTTACTTCATTTATTCTCCTTTGTGACAGTAACAATGCAGTACAGGTAATGAGAAATTAAACAGATTTACACTCCTGAACAGCATCTTTCATAAAACCAAGTTGATCCATTTAAGTAACAAGTACCAGCAACTGCTTGAAGCGGGAGACTTGAGGAATAAAGTACCTGTGAATGGGAGATTTTATTTTATTACAGTCATAAAAAATTATAACACTTCACCAGCATGAACCCTCAGTAAAATGAAGTTGACATCAAGTCTCAGCCGAAAGATGGTAAAGCATCATGTATATTAATTCATTATCAACTACAGTAGTCAAAACCTTCACTCACCTCTGCTCAATAGGCCAGACAATCTTGCATCCAAAACAAGGTACAAAATCTGAAATAAAAGAAGACGAACATGAGCTACAAGACGTATATATTATTTGTAAATCAAGAGACCCATTCCCCAATTGTGGAACTGTATATTTTCAGCCTTCCAGCTGCCATGATCTTTCAATAAAGTTAATAATTATTTATTATTATAATTTGCAAGTGCAATTTAAGCACTTGCACATCAATGTTTAACACAGTACTTCCACCAGATTCAAAGGGTACAAATCCTTCCAATCCACACTATAATCATATATTGTATACACTAATGGGACTGTCACCGTACCAAGCCAAACCTGAAAGCTTTTCCAAGAGTGGGGATGACACAGGATTGACTCCTGAAGGAAGCAAAGAAATACCCACGAAGTAGGGGATATTAGGGAAAATGGGATGCAATGTAGCATCACCAGTTTTCTGTCCATTAACCACACTAGCAAGGGTTTGCCATGATTACCTGGAGGCCTCTATTACAAAGTAGGAACTGGACATTATATGCAGGATGTCCAAGCACCCTCTCAGCTAGCAAGGCAGAGGTCACTACTCCAAGAGGTATTCACTTGCCTTTAATGATTCAAATAAAATTTACAGAATATTTTGTAAATTTCAGATCATTCTCAAGGTTGTCAAGCAAGTCCATTTAATTATTTTGTCTGGGGGGGCGGAATGAAACCTTCCCTTGTGCAGGGGCATAAGCAAGGTACAAGAACCCTGCAAATTAACCGCTTAAAGTGCCAAAAATCTTTTAAGGATCTTCTGTACATGTACAAGTTTATTAATCCTTCCAAATCTTTTTAAATTTTTAGTAATCCAATGTATTGCAGAAGATCATAGGCTCTTTGTTAATGAGCACCTCATAAAATTTCACTAAACAGTCTACTGCAAGTCTGGGAGATTTCTTTGTGATCCCCAGAAGAGGAACTTCACTCCCACCCACAGTGGGATGTGAAAGTTCAGTTGAAAACCTCTAGGCCTAAGCCCCCAGAATGTAAATTTTTCTAAAAAATATATTAAACCTCGACTTAAAATCAGCTTACCTAAACACAGACAGTGTTGTGATGAAACTGCAGAAGGCAACCTGAAACAAATAAATCCCATTAGTCTGAAGTCTCCCAACTTGAAAAAAACTTACAAAATCATTAAGAAATCAGTGTCAACAAGTTGTCACCACGCAATGCGTTGGAATCTGAAGACCGTCGTGACAATTTCATCATAATATAACTGCAGAACATTATCAATACTTGAATATTCATTGAGGTTATCTTGCTAAAGAAACAATTTTGTCCCAGGATCCTAAGATAGCAAGAAAACTTAGCTAGCACTATTATAAATATTCCACATGGTTTAAGGAGCTATTAGAAAACAATCTCTTTGGTCAAGACCGTGTCAACAAGTTAGATTCTGAAGACTACCATGGGACAATTTTTACTACAGAATTTAAGCCTTTTGTCGAGCTCACCTCAGCCATGCCGAATTGTTAACATCATCATCTCCGGAATGAACCAACCTGGAAAAAAATCAGGAATGTACAGTACTACCCAAATGCTTTTAAGACATTATATTCACAAGCAATATACTAATTATTACAGTAGCTTAGACAAATTCTTAAATTGTCAATATTTACATTGTATTATGTCTCGGGAGCATTAAGGAAAACTTCCCTCACGCAGGTTAGACATAAATTGATATAGCACCTTACAAAATTCCACATGATATAAGGACCCATGAGAATTTTCACGCGCTAAGTGCAAAAAATAATACAGTATACGGACTTTACAAGATTATGAAAGCTTATGACGCTCCCAATTCTCATAAATATGTAAACAATACAATATTTTACAAGATCATAGGCTCTATATTAAGAATAAACTTCACAAAATTTCACTACATAATGACAACTTACCATTTTCTGCACTTATATAATGGGTCCTTCCAACTTTCTTAGGAGCTTTCAAAGCAGAAATTTCACCACACTGTAGACTTGCTGCTCAGTTTACTCACAAACCCCTGCAGAAAAAATATTAAAATAAAGTATTAATCCTGTTTTTAATGCAGAATACATACTTATCTGAAAATCATTACAGCAACATGCAAACTACAATACGAGGAAGAGTAATACAGGTAGTACATGTACTGTGGATATATGTAGTAATGAACATACCATAAACCATGTTTAAACAACCCCCAGAGGATTATATCCCAACTCCCAAATGAAAACCTCTGGCTAAACTCAAAATGTTGCAACATTTATCCTCGACCTCATATTAGCTCACCTAAACAGATGCAGTGCTGTGATGAAACTGCAGGAATCTGCCTGAAACAATAGAATCCAATCAGCTTCCCTACCTAAAAATATTTTATTTATTTAAAAATTATAAATCAGTGTCAACAAGTTATCACCATGTATTGCGTTGGATTCTGAAGACCGTCGTGACAATTTCATCATAATCATTACTTCAAAATTTAATAACATTTTGTCGAGCTCACCTTAGCCATGCCAAATTGTTAACTCTTTTTCCTGGGACGAACCAACCTGGAAAGATAAGGAATGTACATTACTTCCCAACTGCCTCAAAGACACAGATTCACAAGCAATATATATAAAAAAAAAATGTATATTCTAATGTGGCCTGGAGCCTCCCTCGATAGCTACACCTTCGCCACCACTATATTACCTTAAAATTAAATATCCATGCAAACGCAGCTACCCTGTGTTGTGTTAGTCGGGGCCACAGATAAATGCAGCATTCAGCGACTGTCACCTGTGTATATCTGCAACCGTTGTCAGCTTTGGGGCCAAAGATCTCGTTCCCCTGAGGTAAAGCAAAGCAGAGGACAGTCAACACCTCAACTAGGATGTAACAACTTTTGGGCTGCCACTTCCATTCCGATAACACCTCCGCGAGTCTGGCATAGAAACATTTTGCACTTGGGCCCACCCCACCAGAAGTTGTGAACACAACACTCAGAATTCTCTCCCCACATGCCCTGATCTTGTCATTCTCGTTTTTCCTGTGTGCAGCGTCGAGAGCTAGGTTACGGTGACATGCGGCCAGGGGAACGAAAATCCTTCTGTCAAAGGCATGTTGTCCCCGCGTCCAGAATACCAAGCATTGACGTCCACACGAGCTTCGTTGGACGTGTTTGAAGTCCTGGGATGGAGGTTCTCGTCGTCTAATGATAGGAGGGGCGGTTTCACCATGACGTGACAGATTTCCTTCAGTAAATTTGCTGCAAGATCCCTTACTTCATCATGCCTCATGCATACGAATCCCCCTTTCTTGCACACCGTAAATTCTTATTACAGTATGTAGTTTAGGTAACTTCCTAAATTTTCAATATTTACATTGTATTATGTCTCGGGAGCATTAAGGAAAACTTCCCTCACGCAGGTTAGACATAAATTGATATAGCACCTTACAAAATTCCACATGATATAAGGACCCATGAGAATTTTCACGCGCTAAGTGCAAAAGATAATACAGTATACGGACTTTACAAGATTATGAAACCTTATGATGCTCCCAATTCTACACAAATATGTAAATAACGCAATATTTTACAAGACCATAGACTCTATATTCAGAATAAACTTCAAAAAAATTAACTACATGACAACAACTTACCATTTTCTGCTCTTATATAATGGGTCCTTCCAACTTTCTTCTCAGGGGCTTTCAAAGCAGACAAAACATTCCACAAACACCTGCAGAAAAATATTAAAATATAGAAGCATTAATCATGTTTTTAATGCAGAATACATGCTTAACTGAAAGTCATTACAGCAATATGCAAACTGCAGAATGAGGAAGAGTAATACAGGTAGTATATGTACTGTGGATATGTTTTGATTGATTGAAACATTTTATTTAGCCAGCAAGAAACAGATAGAGTGGATAATAACAATATTAACATGGCTGAGCCAGTTGAGAACCTGAGCTCTTTGAGGCACCTGATAAATACTATACATTTATCTCGAGGAAGTGTTATGTAACATTTAGCATCATCAAGTAGGTCATTGTCCGTACAACTCTCTTTTGTGCAGTAACCAGAGATTGTTAGCCAGTTTGAGGCGCCCACCTCCTGCACTACAGCTACTTTTTTTTAAGTTCTGGCAATTGCTGCAGTTTATCTCTTTGGGTATGCTGCGGTTCTGTCGTAATGGACAGCCGATTTTTATTACAGTAGTTTAGATAAATTCCTAAATTTTCAATATTTACATTGTATTATATCTCGGGAGCATTAAGGAAACCTTCCCTCAAGCAGGTAAGATAAATTGATATAGCACCTTGCAAAAGATAATATAAGGACTTTTACAGAATAAATTTCACTACATAATGACAACTTACCAATTTTTCTGCCCTTACATAATGGGCATCCTTCCAACTTTCTTCTCTGGAGCTTTCAAGGCAGATACAACATTACACCACACTGGATTCTTAGTTTAATCACAAACACCTGCAGAAAAATAACATTAAAATCCTAATAAGTACCAAATCTACATTTATGAATATCATCTAATCAGAAACTTCACATTTTCATTATCCAATATTCAAGGTAGGTAAGGTTATGTCATCACATTTACCCAAACTTCACTTTACCCCCAAAACAATAGTAGTCAGAACTACTACAGTATAAGTTTACTATAACTTAGCCACTAAACTTTGGGTTACATGGTAAGGTACTTTTAATTCTGCTCTGAAATCATGATGAACTTGTATTGAAGCACAGAGGACTTTAATAAGATGATGCAAATGAAATTTGGTTTTTTTAATTAATTGAAAGATTATTGCATAAAATCATTCTTCCTTACTGTTCAAGTGATGGTGGAAGACACACCTATACACATAGAATAATGTCCAACACAACCTGAGGAGGAAGAGAGTACACAATTAGACAAAATATTTCTAACAACCCTTCCTGAAAGTATTGTTGCCTTTTCAGATTACCATATCGTCACAAATGCTTTCAGAGACTCTAGTCTGAAATTACGGTAGGATTTCATCATGCTTAATGCTGGTGGGACCTTCGACATTTGGGTGTACATGTAGAACGGTAATTGTGTAACAAAATTAAAAGAAAAGATCACATTTCCCAAAATTTATAAGAATAAAATTCTTATGCAACATTAATAAAGCTTTTGGCTTCTTATATTTCATAAAATAAAATGCAAAACTTCAGTATGCTATACATACTATATATACTAACTTACCAATGCTAGAGAATGCCATTCCTGTCCAATCCAATACCAGATTCTGTAACAATAGATATAATATTGAGTACAAATACATTGAATACAGTACGTTACATTATAATGTATTCACTAAAAGATCTATTTAAAACATGCTCAGTAATTCTATCCCCAACACATTCAACCAAGCAATGACCAGGCTGTGACTGCATACTGGTTAGGGCTCCTGGGCTATCACTTGGCAACGTGTCATCTTTGAGTGACCAATGGGATGCCTGAGCAGTGCAGTGTCCCAACTCCACACACATTTGCAAAATGCATTTGGGAAACCAGCAGTACTGTACAGATTTTCCTCGCCAATTAGTAGTATATTACATTTTTGGTCATTGGAACATGTTTTCACTGTGATCCAAACTAGTAAAATGTCTACTAGTTAATGGTCTGCATGTGACATTATTCTTCCCCGAACTTCTGACCAAAATTTATATTTCCATAAATTTGGTGGATGAACTGTCGGGCGATGAGAAAAAATACAAGTAAACTCACTTTTTTGTAACACTAGTTCCAACAGTCTAGCATACCCAGTCTTCTGTAAGAAGAGATTTGGAAGAATTATAATTTGGACAAACTTAAAGACAGCTAGCAATAACACTACAAAAACTTAACTGGTTTATCACATTACTTGTTCACTTTAAACGACCAAAGTACAGTGGTACCCGATTAATGAGCACAATTGGTTCTAGTCACTTATTAACCGAATATGAAAATTATTATTATAATATGTATATATATTATAATAATAATTATTTTCATATTCGGTTAATAAGTGACTAGAACCAATTGTGCTCATATATATATATATATATATATATATATATATATATATATATATAGATATAGATATAGATATAGATATATATATATATATATATATATATATATATATATATATATAAGTACAGTCAGTATTATCAGACAGGCAGGAGAAATTTCATCATAAGGCTTCAGCAAACAGTTGCGAACCCTCTCCATTATCATCATATATGTATTTACTTAGTCACATAAAACTGTGGTTAAATTAGATCCCATAATCACCTTGTATAATGTCTGGGCCTTGGTGAATCAATGGTGAAGTTCCACAACCCTCTAATGTCTGAAAGAATAAAAAAATAAAAATGTCAATAACCAAAGTTGCAATTAAAGCATGACTGTTTATTATCAAGAACTAGCTTCAACTACGGAAATCTTCAAGTCACAAAAAAGGCCAAAACCATTAGTACGCCAAATTTTGTACTATGGCTAATTCAGAAGACTTCATACTCACAGCAAATCGTTTATTTTACAATCTGCATCCTTGCTCTGAATCTACTCTACGTGATCAAATTGTAATTTACTTTTACTATTGTCCAATCGGCTTAACCAATTCTTAAAAATTTTGACAATTTCTGCTAGAGAATTTGGTTACATCTGCAATTTTAATGTTAATTCCAACATCATAACCTGCTAACTAAACACAAGTTATACCAAAATAAATAAGACACTATCCATGTATAGTCTATTAAGATGACTACCACGACTATAGATTTTTTTTAAGATTACCCATAAATTCAAGACAGCTACACCATTCCCTCTTTCATTTGCATTGTCTTGCATCCACCAAATTTAGCTGTACAGTACTCGGTCATCACAAAAATGCCGACTAATAATTCTTACAGTTGTTAAACATATCGGAATAACATTTGTTTGAAACATTCTAGAAAGACTCTGGTTATTATTAACCAAGCCTGCTGGTTGTTTCTCATGCTCTCCCACGGTGCAAAAGCAGAGACAACAATGTAACCGCTGATCGTCTAGTGGTTCTCATTACCCAGAATACACACATTAAACGTTTACTTCTCAATGCAGTACTTCCTAAAAACTTTTTTTTAAACCACAGTACCCTCCCAATTCACTCCAATCCCCGAGTAGGATTAATTTGGACAAATTGCTGTGGCACCAAAGTACCACTGCAATCACTTTTGTACAGTACCATCAAGAGCACACACTACACTTACTGGAAAATGCCTTCACCCAGACTTTAGCTGAAAACTTCTATCTTCTGTCCACATCCCATATCTAAAATATGCAAAGAACAAATAAGCATAATGTAGAGTATACATAATATTTAATTAACACTTAATGAATCAGATAAATCCTTTTTCAATATCATATATAATCAACATCGCAAGATAATCATCATAAACTTTATGTAAACTACCTTTGGCATTTAAACTTACAGAAACAAACCAAAGTTAAAGAAACAATATTCTAGAAAAGCCAAAGTACTTACCTTTCAAGTTAATTTTATCCATTGTATATCATGAACTGGACATCTCATTTCATCTGGAATTTGTGTCCATCTGTCACCTGGAGAAAGGCAATTGGGATTTGTTAAAATACTGATATTGTTGTAGTGTCTCCATAGCATGGCTAGCCTGACATCACACCATTCCAACTCAATTCTCATTTGCAGTGTGCATGAAAATGCTTACCATATACATTTGTTTGAAACATTCTAGAAAGATTCTGGTTATTATTACCAGAGCCTGCTGGTAGTTTCTCATGCTCTCCCACGTTGCAAAAGCCGAGACAACATCATGTAACGACTGATCGTCTGGTGGTTCTCATTCATTAACCACAATATATTACCCCTTACCAGCCAGATACCAACAAGTTTTCTTTTCATTACTTCCTTAAAGCTAAATGATAAAATCCATTAACTGCTACATTTATGGCTCAAATTATGCTAACACAAAAGCCTTTACCATATAAATAACATGGTTTAACATACTGGGAACATGTAACAAGACTCAGGGACAGTTTCTAGTATCTGATACAGTACTCAAAAACCAAATAAATAAATCATACCAAAGGGCAACAAGAACATAATTATGAAGCACACTTAAAAATATAATCTTCAAACCCAAATCGTTTCTCCAACAACAGCCCTCAGGATTTTCTAGTTGAAATACAAGGGCCAGATCAAGCACTAATGTAGTCTCATTCTATTATGCAATGGGTAATACTGTACTGCACTCCACTATTTTTGGACACTTGTACAGGTAAACTGCTTACGGGTATTTTCAAATAACTTTCTGTGGGGGACTTCATGAAAATTACAAATAATGACAAGGTTTCCTTCAGACAACCTTTTGTCTTGCTTGTCTAACAACCTAACAACCCCAAAAACCCTGCAGAAGCCATTTTGAGTTCATAAAACATATTTCCTAATGATTTTCAATTGCACAAATCACTTCAAGTAACCACCATTACAGTATATAAAATACTTGTTACCAAAAAACCCAGCACTTGGTTGTCATTACAGGTACTGCACTTGCTATTTCCCCAGGGCAGGAAAGTGATCTCCGGTAGATAGCCCCTCAAAAATATGGAGCTGACCTACAACACCAACAGTGTCCTAGTACAGTATAAACATCCAATTTCAAAAAGGCAACTCAGATTTACTTCAATTAGAAAGTAAAATTTTACCCAAACAAACTAAAATGCACATTACTATGGATTAGTAAAGTAACACCCATAATTCTATTACTGTACTTACCCATGACTGCTGAAGTTGATAATCCCTTCTCCAAGCAGTTGACAAACATTAACCACTTTATGCCCTGGCAGGAGAAACTTCCATTAAGATCTGTACTGTATATGTATAAGTATAGTAACATTTAAATAACAGTTTCCTCAGTTCTCCAAGGTAAGACATTGAGCCGTCATCCATTATGTCCAGCATCAAAAAAGAGTTATCATCATAAACTATTGAACACTAGCAAAACCTTTTGACTAAAATGCACAAATTTCTACAAATAAATAAACTAATCTGAATTAGGAAGAGCTTCCATAGCCAATAACCCTGCTTTCAAAAGATTTTTAATGTTTATTAAATTCATGTTAAATTCCCAAAACAAATATCTAATCAAAGAATAACCTGGTTTAACATAATGCTAACATGTAACAAGCCTTCTATAGGTATAGTTTTTTTTTAGTACCTAGTACTCGAACAAATTATTCTTACCAAACCATACGAGGCATGCTAAATATAAATCTTCAAACCCAATCGTTTCTACCCCAAAAGCCAACGGGATATTCTAGCTGAATTGCAAAGGCCAGATCAAGCACTAATGCAAAGGGTAATACTGTACTGCACTATTTTTGGACACTTGTGCAGGTAAACCACTTATTTTCCAATAACTTTTTATAGTCAACTAGCTTACCCCCATGAAATTTTCAAACAAAGACCAGGCTTCCTTTGAACAACTTTTTCACCCTTGTCAATTTATGACCACGCTTAACATTCCCGTCAAGGTCACTCTGACTTTACAAAACTCAAACAAACGTTTCCCAATGACATTCAATCTCACAATCCCATTATGACAATAAAAACTCCAGCAAATCAAATTGGATTCCTTCTCATTACAGGTATTTGCAATTTCCTAAGGCAAGAAAGTGATGTTCAACAACAGGTAACCATCCAAAAGTTGGGAGCCGACCTACAACTGTCCTAAATAAACATCTTGTTCCGAATTGGCAACTCAACCGATTTATTTCAATTAGATTGTAATATCTTATCAAAAACTATAATGCACATTACTATGAATTAGTGAAGTAACACCCATAATTCTATTACTGTACTTACCCATGACTGCTGAAGTTGATAAGTCCCTTCTCCAAGCAGTTGACAAACATTCAACCACTTGATACCCTGGCAGGAGAAACTTCCATTAAGATCTGTATATGTATAAGTATAGTAACATTTAAATAACAGTTCCTCAGTTCTCCAAGGTAAGACATTGAGCCGTCATCCATTATGTCCAGCATCAAAAAAGAGTTATCATCATAAACTATTGAACACTAGCAAATCCTTTTGACTAAAATGCACAAATTTCAACAAATTAATAAGCAACTCATCTGAAGTAGTTTTAAGAACACAACAGAGGCAACCGTTAGGCAGACCAGTTTACTGGTAACTCCTATTGCTCATGTCTATCCAACCTATTTTTGAAGCCTCCCAACGTGTTTTACTTCGTGATGGTTTGACAACTTGTTCCACTCTTCCACTAGAAAACAGTGCGTTAATGTTCGAAATAAGGCAAACAGAGTATTGGGTTTTATGTCTAGAAGTGTAAGTAACAAGAGTGCAGAGGTCTTATTGCAACTATATCTTGCGCTAGTCAGGCCGCACCTCGATTATGCGGTTCTGGTGCCCCGATTATAGAATGGATAATTCACTAGTCGGTGCAGCGAAGAATGACAAAAATGATTCCGGGACTTGGAAACCTTCCACATCAGGATAGGTTAAAGAAACTTAACTTGCATTCCCTAGAAAGACGAAGAGTGCGGGGAGATATGATAGAAGTATTTAAGTGGGTGAAAGGAATCAATAAAGGGGATATAGATAAAGTTCTTATAATATCCGAGCAGGATAGGACTCGGAGCAACGGATTCAAGTTGGATAAATTTATGTTTAGGAGGGAGATAGGAAGAAACTGGTTCACAAATAGGGTGGTGGACGAGTGGAACAAGCTCAGCAACTTTGTAGTAAGTGCGGGAACTCTGGAAAGTTTCAAAAGGAGGCTAGATAGATTCATGGATGATAGAGTGGTAGTAACTCTCGACAGGAGCTGCCATGCACAGGCCAACCGGCCTATTGCAGACTCCTTATGTTCTTATGTACTAGTAATGTAGGGTGTCATACAGAGGCGATTTTTTTTTTTTTGGAGTTTGAAAAATCGGCCCATGGTATTAATGATGTAGTTCTATGTGCAGAATCATGTGATATCTTCAGATTTGAAAAGTTTTCATTTTTTGCTAGGTAAATTTTAACTTGAAATCTTATGAAAATTCAGTATTCCCACCCTTTTACCAACACCACTAAATAGCTTATTTAAAGTAAAGTAAATGTATCAGGTTAATTTATTAGGATGAAAATGATCCAGAATAGTGAAATGAATGATCTTGACACATTTATTGAATTTAATATTCCTTTAGAAAACAAAATCATCAAATACAAAAACCGGTTTTACTACTACTACTACGACCCGGTGTTGCTGCACACCATAGAGAACATGTCTTTCTTGCTTCTGTTTCTACTCATCACCTCCCTGCTGACCACCTGAGCTCGGATGTAGCCTTCCCTCCTCTCCTGGCTGTACACGTGACTGCTGGCCTCGCTCACTTGCTGTACACAACGCTCTATACTCTGGGTGTGCGAGGGCCAGGCAGGGACATGCATGGGGTTGTCCAGGAAAGCTCTGACTTGAACATTGGTGAGGCTGCAGGTAAGAGGGGGCTCACTGCCAGCCTGGATGTTATCCAGATCTATGAGATCAGTGAGGGTCTTGGCACCTAGATTGACTTCAGGAGTCTTCCTGACCCTGAAGGAATCGTCACCAACTGATTCGTCATGCCCAGATCCTCTCATAAGTCTCATATCCAAGATCTTTTTGACTGCCACTCTTCTCTCCTCCTCATCCTTACTGCAGAGCATTGTCTGCAGAACTGCCTCGGGATGAGCATACCAGGAAGATCTCAGTCTGCTCCACAATCTGAATAACCTTCCTTGGCCGACTCCTCAGGAGCTCAAGCTGGAAGAGAACATGCCTCGGACCTTCGGAGAACGATGACTTGACCTTGGTGTTGAACCAATTTGGCAAGTAGACACTCACGATGAATTGGACAACAAGTCTCAGGTTGTGAGGCTGGTTCCCTTTCAGTTTATGATGAGCGACCCAAATTCTGCAGAACCTGAGAGCCATTGTGAGCCACCTAGAATGTGAGACTGGACCTATCTGCAGGTAATTAAGTCTATCAGGCATGACCCCAGTTTTGATGGCACTGCAAATCATGTAACCATAGTACTGGTCAGTACTCAGGTCGTCAATGACAGTATGTGCAAGCTCAACGAGTGGAGGGCCAACTGTGATTTTTTCAAAGCTCGGATTTATTTCTAACTCAGTGGCAGAGTCCAGCATCTTGCCAAGAGGACCAGACCATCTGTTTGAAAGTCTTGCCATCCAGCTCCTGGATCAGATGTCTGAGTGGCAACTCGTTGGTGTGGAGGTCACAAACAATCCAGACCAGCTTCCTCCCAATCTTCCGCTCTATCCACTGTATGACCCCCCCTTGCCACCCTGTGTTCGTGTTGGTGCTGTCCTCCAATGGCCTGCAGGGTCTGGTCTCGTTCCTCTCTCTGAGCCAGTTCACAATGTTATCTGCCACTATCTCAGCTGGTTTCCTGATGTCATCTTTCTCTGGAGTGAAATGCCACAAATACTTCCCTCCTGGTTCACTGCAGCAGGAGTAGTGTTCCTCCTTCACCATGGCAGGGAACAACTTGTCAGAATCTCCAACTTTCATGAACACTTTAGTGTCATCCCTTCTCCCATCAAAGAACAAACAATTGATTCCATTTTCTCTTATCCCCTTATCAAACTCCTCTTCTAGGTTACTGACAAGTTTCTCCTGAGCTCTCCTTACTTTGTTATGATCTCTCACCAGGTGAACATCATCAGGTGTTATCAAACCACCGTCAATCCAGGCAGCTGTTGCTATCTCTGCAGTTTCTCCGAGACCAGTGTGGTGTCGCATGCTGGCCAGAACTATGCTCGGGATATCTTTCCTATTTCGAATCTTATGCCTGGAAGGTTTGGGATCATTATTTTCTGGGTTAGGGACAAAGTCACCGTTCTCCTGGTCAGCACTCGGATCAGCCATGGCGGAAGTCATTAAACTCTGAATCAGCTTGACTCCAATCATCGGCCTTTTTTTACCTCACCCTGGGCCTTCTCAAGTCTCTTTTCCTCGGCAACTCTTCTCCTCTTCTAAGTCTCTTTACCTCGGCAACTCTTCTCCTCTTCTGTCTCTCTGTGGCAGCCTCCTGTCTCTTGGACTCCGGAATATCTTGGCTAGAAATCATGAGAGCCCCTATACTGCCAGTCTTCTCTCTCTGTGCTTTGACAAATGCCAGTTCGATCACAGGAATCTTCAGTTCACGCTTGCAAATACAGGAGATGTGGGCCTCGGATTTACAGTCACGATCGCATCCAAACTCAGGACAGAGAACAATTGGGCACTTGCAAGTAATTATGTCAAATAACTGGTCCAGTTGCTTGGCAAACCTGTCCTTAACTGCAAGTTTTCCTCTCCCAAGAGAGATATCTCTTGCCTTTTCCCAACTGGCTAGCAGTCTCTCACTAATCTTCTTCTGACTTGTTATGACTGGAGGCTTGAACTGAGCGTTAGCCAGAGTGTACTGTGCCAAGACAGCTTTGGTCATATCACTGGCAATGTCTTTGTTTGTGTAAGTTCTTGGGTTCTTTTCACTGATTTGCCTGATTAAAACACCGCATCTCAAAGCATCTCTCAACGTAGGCAGCTCCGACTTCAGGAGCTCTCTCCCATACCCAAGATAGTGACGGAGATGGCTGGGTTTTTGGTTCCTCGTCCTGACACAAGCAGCCATCGCAAATATTATCAACTTATAAATGCATCGGAATCTGAAACAGAAAAAAATATTGTTAATTGGGTTGTTAAAGAATGAAGTCAGAAAGCAATGTTCACTATTTAATTGTACTAGTATTGTCTGATACCTAAATCGAAGTTTTTCTAATTTAGAAACATTGCTACCTCACTCGTGGCTGGATAGTTCAGGTACCTTACCATTACCCCCTACATCTTCTCAGTTGGATTTCTCTATCAACATCGTTGATCTGATAACTGGTCTCCGTATTTATCTCCTACGCTACAAACTTTTCACATTAAATTTCACCTGCCATCTATCAAACCAAAGTGAATATTTAAGTGTTAGATCTTCCTGTAGTTTTGCTGAGTGCTTGTAAAATTTGATTACATGCCCTATTTTAATCAACTATTATACACTTAGTCAAGGTACCTTGCTATGCAAACTTCTATATTCAATAGCAAGGGCATACAGATAGTCACACTCCGCAGAGCAGATCAATTTACTCTACAGTACTATACCCCACTGATATCTCCCCCCCCCCCTATATGATTAAGCCAATTCAAAAAGCAATTTATCACCTTATAAAATTTGTAACCATGATAAAATATTGTAGCGTTACAGAGCGTCATACGGTTCTGTGGCCTTAATACCTGTATTGCAGTTACATAACCCACAGGCTACAAAGCCATGACCTTGCATTCTAAGTTAATCTATTTCATTCAGAATTTTGCATTACAATGTCAAATCATTCAGCAGGTGAACCTAAGCAACAAAATATAAGATATATAATCTGGAAAGCTAAATACCCATGGCAACAGCAACTGCCCACAATGTTAACTGTGACCTGATATGGCCACAGGTTAGGTAGACAATACCAAGGCCACGGAGCTACTTCATAAATATGGTATTTATCGTTTCGATCATGCACCTATTTTCCGATGGCCAAATTCATTGAATATGTCAAAAACTTTCTGAAAAACAATTTCAACCTATCAACCTAAATTCACTGCACGACCGAAACGATATTACCATAAATACAGCAATATCTATTACCCCTCCATCTGAACTAACTAGAGAAAAATCAAAGTAGGGTAGGTTCAGCTTTTCTACTACAAACTACAGCAAAAGCCTTGTCTGCAAAAAATAAACCACTTAACAATAACTGTCCAATGTCTAATACTTTATTAATTTTGCCATGTGACGTATGTAGAGGCCAGGTCTACAGTTCTAGTCACCACAAGATAAATGAATGGTTTAAAATCAAGCCATGCTTTAATGAGGGTCCACAGAACACCCACAATGCTTACGAACGGCTATTATGTAAATGAACACTGATCACAAGCAACACGGACACGTGGGAGTTACAAGTTGAATATTTTTTCCAAGATTACTCGTGTGAATAATTATTTAAACTTATTTTTATTATAAGGTAATTCATAATGCTCAATATAAACTCCCATATGCCCACCCTGGTCACCACACATGAATATCACGTCCATATGCACACGACCTTCACCATAAGGAGTGGAGACGTGCACACATGAGGTTACTTATATAAAACACATTTCCTTGATTATTCCTTCAACTGTACTCAGGTACCGAAACAACTATCCGTACCTGAATACTCGGAGATCAATATCAGCACTACAACATCACAAAATTAATAAAGATGACATAGATATACCTTGATAAAATTAGTCGACTGGTCTGGACTGAAGCGCAGGAGTTGTGAGGACGATAGAGCTCTTCCATGGCCAACGTCTCTTTCTCATCACAGTTGCCAATTACTCTTACATTTTAATACTTTAACTATTTCGTGTATGATTATAAACGAAAGTCATTAATGCCAAACATAATATCTGAGTATATCCTTCAGCATGAAATATTAAATGTTCTTTCTATCTTTTGCGAAAAATAATTATAGCTTTAAAATGTCTTTGCTCCAAAGTTGCCAGATGAGTCAATACTTTCATTATTTTATTATTCGTCTCCTACAAAACTTATAAATTTAATAATAAATTATTTTATTACAATATTATAAATATTCAAACTAATTTATAGTATTTTTTTTGTAGTATCCTATTGATTTTTTGAAGTATTAATTTTGGCTATACATCTGTCGAATTCTTTCCTGCGCAATATCATCTAAAAAGTCCTTTCACAGTATATTTACCTTATTATATGAATATATATATTTATATAAATATTTGAATAGGCTATTAAAATTTAAATATGGAAATAACAAAAATGTAAGCAGTAATTGTAAGGTGGAATGCCCTTCCAAACATGGTTACAATTTAATTTGTTCTTGTCCATTAAAAAGATATATTTCTCTAGAAGGATAATAATTGGAAGTTAGAATATATAAACCTGAATTATAATAAACTATCACATTCATATTAACTATCACATTCATATTAACTATCACATTCATATTAACTAACTTATGTTTGGAATATTTGATAGTTAATTTCTATGTGTTAATGTGTCTCGGGATTTTATTAGATTACAAACATCACTTAACGTCTATGATGATGATTTGAATCCAATGCAATAATAAATATCTTCTGTATATTTGTTCGAGTAACTGACAAACAGTGGTGAGTCATCAGGCTTAAGCAGTTTAAATACGTGACTCCGGGAATTAAGTATATATCATTAAAACACAACATTCCTTATAAGACTTTTCAAGCCTTGATGTGTCTTGCTGTTGTGTCACGGTTGATGTTTTGTAGATTTTCAATAAATTTATTTGTCACCACAGCCCAACATAAGGACTCAGCTTTTAATGACTTACTACTCTTTGTTCTTAACCTACTCTACAGTATTTGTTAACTACCATTGTATACCTGCAGTGTTTGTGTGTGTATTTTACTTTTGCCTCTTATGTAATGGCTCTAATATGTATATTTACCTGCCTCAGTGTTGGTCAAGTCTGATCTTAAGTGAGCTCTAACTCGGTGCCGCCACAACACTGGTAGATTGTTCCAGGAGTCCACAACTTTCACTGGAAAAAAAGTTGGTTAATATTAGACAGAGAAACCTAAATCATATACCGGTAATGAGCCTAAGTTATATACCACTGTTTGTAGAGTAATGACCCAGTGAGTATAATGACCAGATGTGGCTAGGTTAGGTTAGCCTCTTTTAGTTTTGTGGTAAATTCCATATAGTATTCCTCTTTGGCATTTCTGTATTGTACTGTAGCAGATGACTAGCACCAAAAAAAGTTTGATTTCATTCATTTTTTTCCATAGATGTTCTTTGGATGATGGTTGATAGTAAGTGATAAAGGCAATATGACAACTTTTTATTTTAACTAAGTATTTTTTTTATTTTGTCTATGAATATAAATTAACTGTAGTGTGCAGGGTATGAAGAATGAGGGAAATTGTGGGGTAAAACACACTGAAAAGCTGATCATATACAGTAACACTAAATTGCTGTCTCGACGTGCAATATACGTGAAGAAATTAATTATTTACCAGAGATATTCAGCCAAAAAATACTTATAATTAAAATAAAAAGCTGTCGCCTCTTTTAAAATACACTATAATGGTGAGAACATCTGTGGAAAAAATTAAGGAAATTTATCAACTCCTGGTGGTAATGTAGTACTGTTCTCATAAACTACCTCCTTTTTTTGGTGGGACGGTAAGAAGGGTCATAGCTCAATATTTACCGGTATGCATTTCCCCAAATTTTCATTATCACCATTGTATTCAGCCTGAAATACTACTGTAGAAAAAGTAGATTAAAAAAATTAAGGCTTTTTGCGGAATAATTACCCAGAATTTACCGACAATTTTTTTAACAAGTGGTTTCTTCAACCTGAGGATGTGACCTCTAGTGGGTCGAGTATCCACTAGTTCCAGGTATGACCACAACTGAATAATGGGTTAAAATTCGTTTCGGCCCCACCCACAATTTAATACTTTACATATTTCTTTTCATAGTTAAATTAAAAAAAAACAAGTTTTATTCTATGATTTTTTGGGGCAAATGCTTCTCTTTTGAGTTTACCCCTTTCTCCTCATGATATTAATACCCCACAAAGTGGGCAGGGCTTTGAAGAGAGGGAAATTTGGGGGTCAAAGTGATTTAAAGTAAGAAAAATTGAGTGCCACCAGCTTTTAGGTTAGGTTAGATTGGACTGGTAAGGATTTTATGAATTTCACACTTGTTTCTTGGGTTCAAGTTGACTCATGAGGGATGAGTTTTATCTTCTTTATAAAATACAGTAGTCGATATACCCAAGAAATGAATGTGAAATTCATTGAGCACATTGAAAGATACAGGAAAAACTTTATTTTGTCCAAAAAGATATCGTGAGCGGTATTAAAACTAATATTGACCATCCGAGTAATATCCTCTGAGGTGCTCATAGATTTTTATTAAATCTCCCCCTGCCCACCTATGATATAAGCTAGGCAAATTCAGGCATTCTAATGATCTAATCTCATGGTCTCTGGGTACCTGAGGTGGTGCAGGCACCACTCTAATGCCCTTTTTTTGGTCATTTTCAATTAACTGCCAGTCTCAATAGCATATCTTGGGTGATAGGATTTGAAACAGGAAAGCAACTCACTTTTGAAAAGCATTATGAGGGAGGGACAGACCATCTAGGTACAGTATGTGAACACTTCTTATAAGACCTACGGGCTAATTTGCTTGATTTACCTTCTGTGGTCATACAGCTTTAAGTACTTTTGCAGTACAAGTACTGTACTACTGCACAAGAGTATTGGCTGTGTTAATAGCCCAAATGTTTGGATTGGTGAGCTGGTACTGTATTGGGTCCAACAACTCCCTGCATTGAGATTAATAAAATAATCCAGTACAGTAGTGCACTGTATTAGATCAGCAGCTCTTTTAAGAAATAATTGTTGACTGTACTGTACTTGAGAAGTGTGATCCAAGGCTACCAAGAGGTGATCCTGATTTGTTTAATTGTGAGATCTCAGGAAAATTCATCAAATGTTTATGCTTGGTAACCGACCTTGGAGATACAATACAGTACTGTATCATGTTGTCTTGAACAGGTTGGATTTCTTCCAAAGATTTGATAGCTAACTAATCAAAACTGGATCAATCTCCCATTTTGCAATGGGAATATTTGGTAATACTGTATACTATGAGCTTTTAGAATATTGTACTCTACAGTTATTTCAATATATTCATTTACTTTAATTGTTTTTCCTTTATTACAGGCGTGAAAGACTAAGAATGCCACGAAACATTGAGATTAAGGCCCGTGTGAAAAACTTGGTGCAGCTACATCAACTTGCTGCCCAGCTGTCAAATAGCGAAGGTGTAGTGCTACACCAAGAAGATACATTCTTTAATTCTCCAAAAGGAAGATTGAAGCTACGGGTGTTAAAGGTGGTTTGCATGTCTTTTGTTAGTACTGTACTTTTGAGTTTTGATAATAATTGTTGATAAAAAGTTTTGTGTGTATAATATACAGTACAACGTTTTAACGGTATACCAACCTCTGAACCTTAACTTGTACTCCAAAATGCTATTTGGAAATTACATTTTGTACAGAATAATAATTATCATAACTCCATTACGTGTGTTTACAAATTACATTGTTAAACAGTGATGTTTGTCACCATTACAGTATTAAGTTTTACGGTAAGTACCGGTAGTATTTTCTTTAGGTCAAATGAAAGAAGAAGAGCAAAAATAGAGTTTGTGTTCTAGGGTTAATACTTTATTTGGCGAACGCCAGACGATTTTATTCAAATGACATGTGCTGTTTGATCCTGAAAGAGCTAAGAGTGCAACTAGGTACAGTTTTGAGAATATTGGTGAAGTTTTGTGTAGAGGTGGTATTGATATGTGGGGAGAATGGAAGAGACTAACTGGGTCAAGAGATGAACAAATTTAATGCAGGGAAAAGACCTAGAGGTAGCCCAAGAATGACATTAGAGTTAAAAACCTGTTGAGAGAGGTTGCAAGATATTCTTCAGCATGGAGCTGCCATCAGGTAATCACAGTGGGAAATGGCCATAAAATGTTGATGATACTGTACTTTGTCATTCTGTTAATTACACATTCATTTTCTTCAAACAGTGTATACACACTCCCTCAGTCTATCTCAGCCACACATGCCTCTCTTTTTGGCAGAAAAATATTCCCATAATACAGTGTACCCCATTATCTCCCTGATGACAGAATATCTTCTCTTGCATTTGTTAATGCTTCACACTGGAATGTTCTCACTCACTTATCTGTCTAACCTTGTCATTTACTGCTGACTTTCTGGCGTAAACAAACCTGACCTGGAATTTAGGATCTGAACTAAACTAACCTAATCTTGACTATTGAGTGTTTCATGGTCCTCACACTGTCGTCCTACCTGTACACTCGTATGACTGCAGTACAGATCCTGTCACAAAGCCCTTCTGAACAACAATACTGGTAATGGTGTTTTATTTCTTTTCCCATGATTTCATTTGGATCATTACCATTTACAGAAGCTCTCCCTTCGTCTCTGAAGCGCATTTCCATCTTTATAGTATATTATTTTGTATCAACAATACCTACTCTTTTCAATCTGGTTTTACTTTTTCAGTTTTCTCTTGTATGGCTTTGATAAGGATGTACATTTGTTTTTCACAGGATGATAAAGAAGAACTGATATACTATGAGAGACCAGACCAGGAAGGGCCTAAGTGCAGTGATTTTGAAAAGGTAATAGTTTAACTGTAATTCATTTTTGCTCTGGACTCTTATAACTCATGGTGCAAAACTTGCTAAAAAAAATACACTCAATAATTACCTTATACCTCTTCGAGCTATATAATTTTCTTGTGTACAGTAGTACCCCGATTTACGCGGTCAATTGAACCCATGGGGTACCTCGGAAAGTGAAAACTACGTAAAGTGAACAACAGAACATATGGGATTAATTCCAATAGAGACTGGCCCAACCCCCAATCTCCACTTTTTCCGACACAATAACTATGTTGTAGTAAAAATAACATCTTAATTTTATGATGGTATGCACACACAATTAATATTTAAGAGAAATACAGTCGCCAGGTTAATGTCCATTCAAATAATGGACTCCACTCCCCCCCCCCCTCCTCTTCCCAGCTCACTAGCTCCTACCTCTCTGAGAAATGTTTGGGTGAAAAACACTAGATTTTAACATTTAGTAATAAATAATACCTCCGACTAAAGTTAGGATAATATAATTGACATTTCTGGATTCCATGCAGGTCAGGGAATATTTTGAATGTAAACTTCATATATTTTGCACAGAAGATAAAATATTTGCTTTGTGTAAACCAAATTGTTACATTAGATCTAAAATTTGTATGTCTAATGCAAAATCCATGATGTTTATTTTCAAAATGATCATCATATTGTAAGAATTCCAGCAATGTAAATTATATTCTGGCTGAGTAATTTGTATGAATTTTATGAGCTAAAAAAAAAATAAATAAAATTATACTTCACCGCGTATATGAGTAGATGCAGGAAAGTGAAAGTCCGGTTCTAGCAGCGTACCGCGTAAAGCGGGGTAATACTGTATACTGTATTAGATTCATGTAAGGTATATTGTCATCACCACCATGATAATGGTATGAATGATGTATTTAAACTTTTCACGTCTGAAACAAATGCAGTGGTGACAAAAAAGAAAAGAAAAAAAAGAGTAGTATACAGGGTATAGCGAGATGAGAGTACAGTACAGTAATCTGAACCCCTTAGAATACTGTATCACAACAAAGCATTTAGAAACACTCATTGGTTTTAAAACCATAAACTTAAGGCTTTCAAATCAGAATGTACTGTTAACTTTTACAGTACAGTACTGTACTCTCTAAAACATAATTTCTGTCATCTAACAGCATCACTATGCTAACAATAATCTGAGATTAACCTTACAATACAGTACAGTATATTGTATGTGGTCCTCTTCTTGGGTTTTAAAGTCTGATACTGTACCTGCTCTTAAGACTTTTCTATACAGTACAGTACTCATTATATCAGCCATTGCTTTTCCTGGGACTACTGTTTTCTCAGTACTAACTTGATTTAAATTAGTCACCTGCTGTTTGCATCACTGTGGCAAACATAGCCCCCTTTATTGATCATTTACTTTTATTCCCTCTAAAGATTACGTTGATCTATTCACTTACACTACAGTACTACAAAGTTGATGTGAAAATACTGCATAATGAACTCCTCTGTTAATGTCTATTACAGTACAATACTGTACTGTATTGGATTTATTTTTATTTGTGAACTGGCAACATTTGCACCATATTGATTCTTTAAATAAATTTGGGTAGCCTATAATTATTTTACAGTATTACACAGAAACTTCTGCACATTTGATGATCTTTTATTTGATTTCAGGTTCCTGGAAAAATTGGAGAACTTAGTGGTGATATGTGTAGATTATTGACTCGATGTCTCGGGGTGAAGGGAATGGTAAAAAAGACACGAACATTGTACATGGTTGGCCAGACGAGAGTACATGTCGATTCCGTGGTTGGTCTTGGAGACTTTATGGAACTTGAGGTGGGTGTGTAACAGGAAGTTTACAACAAAATAAAAAATTACTGTTAATGTATACTGTTACAGTATTGTGTTTTGTATGATATACCGTACTAAGGATTAAAGGAGTCCTGTAGGCATTTTCACTATTAACTTTAATTATGTTGCCAGGTTCTACTACAAGATGATCAAACCATTGAGGAGGGGGAGAAGATTGCAAATGACCTCCGTGATAAGCTCAAAATAAAAAAGGAGGACTTGCTGTCAGAGGCCTACATGGATATGATTCTGAAGAATAAGTGACGTGTTTTTCTTCATTAAAATTAAGAAAGTGCATCTAGGCAAATTTTTTTTCTCCACTTCAGTTACTTTATAAATAAACTACCCCTTCTCTCTCAAACTACACCGACTCATCTGAAGTGTCACATCATTATGAAGTTTTGATCCTTCATGGGCCTACGGTATTTGAAAAAAGGGGGGCGGGCCTGGCCACATTATGTTGTCAAGTTGGTATTAATCTTTTACTCACTCACTCGTGAGAGCCTTCCAGCTTGTGTGATGTAGGAATCTCGCCCTTGACACACTTTACCACGTGTTTCTATCCCCCAAGTCTAATACAAATATTATGATCAATTACTAGAGCAGTAATAATAATTGTTAATAGTAATAACGTAGTACAACAAATGTCCTGTCCTTCATACCGATTACAAGTTAGTGTTGTTTACCTCAATACTACTGCATCACGCACACAAACACACGCCACTTAACAAACAATCTCAACTCTGCCTTGCCCTGTTGCCTACTTGTGATAAGGACATGTATTTATTTCCTGTTATGTTATGCATGGCCAGTTTGTACGACAAATTGTTTTTTAAATGTTCCCAAATATACCCTCTTGGGGGATGCTGACCATAGCCCAGGGGTTGAAGGCATCTTTCACTCCTACACATTTCTCATCTTGCTTTACCTCACTGCTTTGCAATTCTTATTAATGTTTTTTTTTTCACGGTCATCAAAAAACTTTTCCTTTAACCACCATAATCGACCAAGAATCGCAAGTTTGCCTCGAATACCAGTCACTCCACCTACTGTACACAGAAAGATATCAGCAATTTAGTGAGGTTATTGGCATCAAAATGTCAAGAAATATAAGGCACTGTCAAGTATCCACCTTTCATTCTCCCTTATAATTTGTGCCAGTGAATACATTAGAACCCACGAGCCTAGCCTTCTCCAGGTTGCTACCAACCAAATGTCATATTTAAGAAGTTAATGTTATGAAATATATTTGATAAAAACCTGGGTGGTGGCAGCTACCATGAGTACAGTATTGAAGATTGTATGGTAACAAGGGGGTATCCCAGGTAAACCTAAGATCAGAATATAATTAGATAAGAGACCAGTAACAAAATAGAAAATATTTGGAGTAATTGAATTAGAAAATAAGAAATAATTTTTAAAAGAATAAAGATATACAGCTACTCCTCGACTTACGACCGCCTGTCGTACCAAAATTTTTTCAAACTACGTACTTTCGAGTCCCAGCGTTGGTAATAGCGCTTTATACCGACAAAATTTTCGTTTGTAATTCACTTTAAAATAGCTGGCAAGCTTAAAAGTGAGTTTTGTGGTGCTGAGAAGAAAAAAAGACACCCATTTTAGATTTTCTATGTATTATTTAAGCATTTTCGACTTGCTACCAATTCGACTTACGGCCTGGATTTGGGTCCCTAACCCTGTCGTAAGTCGAGGAGTAGCTTTTATTATAAATAAATTATTATTTCTGCCCCACCCCCATCTATCACTGAAGAAAAAAATAATAAACTACAATACTGTACTACTCTTGGTACAAAATAATTCAACTCACCACGTTGTTAAGAACGAGTCTGGTAGTCATCGCCTGTCCCCTTTGAGACCAAGGAGACATCAACCCGAGTCCAACACACACTGGTTGGGAGGGGTGGGGGTGTAACCTTCATCTTGGCCTTAAAGACAACAAAATGTTTGCCAGATATTTTCAAAGTTACACTGCTCACTTCATTCACAAAAACACAATAATAATGATGGCGACAATTTTTTATGAATGAACATAAGAAATGTTGCTATAAAAGTGTGGTAGGGAATTAATGGGTTTCGAGTTACTGACCTGATCAATCTCTGGTGTCGGTGAGCATTTAGTGATCTCGTATTACTGACCTGATGTAATGTCAGGGTAGGGGATCAGAGCAAATGGACTTCACAGAAATTAAAACAAGGGAATCACTTCACAGTCACTAAAACAAAGTACAGCACAACATGAATTTTAGTGACATCCTTAATCTGCAACGTAAAAAAAACAAAAAAAACATTGAGCTCCATTTCTTACGCACATGTAACCAAGAAGAAACAATGCCTGGACTGTAGCTCACCAGATGGCCTTCGGATAGATGATGCCTCGACTGACAAATGATGTGCGCAATGCATTCCACATTCCGAGTTGGCAGGATGATGAATATCTTAATGCAGGTTTGTTTACATCAAAAATAAGATACTGTATCGGTCTTAATATATCAACAGCGTTAATGCGAACTATTGTAGATGCGGACATCATTAATAGAGATCCCCCAAAATTTTATATTTGCTTTGCTAGTTTTGAAAAATTTTGGTAGAAAGGCACAATAAACAGATTTGGAAAAAACAGACAATAATGAAGGAGATATTACGATTTTAAAGAATCTTTACTGGCAACATGAGGCTGCAGTGATAGTAAACAATGAACTAAATAATAATTGGTTCACAGAGTAAATAAAGTTTGTTCTATCTTCATTATATAATATATACAGGTATACAGTTTTTAATAAGTGATGATGAATGACAATATTAATGGTTAAGTAATATCAAATATATAAGCAATGCAGATGATACCATTTTTATCGCAGATTGTGAGGAGGTATTACAAAAACTTTATAGAATAGTAGAAAGTGAAAAATATGGTTGAAGAGGTAATGCTATAATGGTTGTTTCTACATGCAAATAAATCTCCAAGAAAAAATTAGGGTAGACAACAAGGAACTTAAGCAAGTGGAAAATTGTGTGTACAGGTATTTGGGAAGTAACATTAGCTGTGATGACAGATGTAAGGAAGAAATCAAAACAAGAATAAGGCAAGCATAAACAGCATCTAATAATATAAAAGACCTAATGAAAATGGAAATTAGCTTCAAATTGAGAAAAAGGCTGCTGAAAGGCTTTATTTGACAAGGACTGATGTATGAATTAAAAGCATGGACATTTTCAGCAGACACCAGAAAGAGGTTGGGGGCCTTTGAAATGTGGTGTTACAGGCAAATGCTAAGAATAGGTTACGCCAACATGAAAACAAATGAAGTACCAAGATTGACAAAAACTTTGAGAATTAGAGTATTTACCTGAAAATACTTATATAAAACAAAGGATATGCCTCTAGAAGACATTTTGCCCCTAATTTCCAGTACAGTACTGCACTATTTTTCGAACAATTTTCATAAAATCCCAATAAAAATTTCAGTGGTAGTTATAGGAATTTTGTTTTTCTAAATAAAAATATGTACCGTACAGTACTATAAATTACGTAATTATTATATACCGAGTAGCTAATTTGGGGTAAAAAAATGAGTGCCAAAGCTAATTATGCAGGGAATTAAAATATGCATTCGAATGTCCCAACATTTCAATGAAAGCACCATATCCAATAGCAAAGATGGTGGAAAACAAATACTTTATATCTTATATAGAATAGACTTAAGTTCTGGAGAAACAAACATTTGAGGTGGGGGAAAACTTGACTCATAAATGGCTTGTACTTTCATTGTCATTAAGGTGGTAAATAAAACCAATTGCTGAATAGACCCTTTATTTAGATCATTTTAGCAAGGAGGGTATTGACTTGGTCCTCCCTGTTACCAAAGGCACCTCCCTCTACAAAGTGTGTGGTCTTCTTCCTCCAGCCACCAGTAGGATTGTTCAGCTGCAAGAGAAATACATTTCAATGATAAATCTGAGATTCTTGGTTGGCAAAGAAAATTAATACAGAAATGGAAAAGCAGCTGTAGTGAAGTTTAAGCCTAAAGCATTAGGATAAAATAGAAGAAAGTTTTTTATATATACAGCATAGCATTTTGTACTCCATGAACTTGAATTAATAAATGGTATAATACAGTACAAGTTCGGATAGTATCCATTCACAAGCCTCAGACATTATGTACACAAACACTTAATTGGCATTTTTATGCAATGACCTGGGTCTCCAAAATTTTCAACAAGTGTATAACTATTGTGTAGTACAGGAGTGAAAAATTTGGTCAATATTCAATCAGAGACATTGAGAAAACAGGATCGAGATAGCCTGATGCATACTTAGACAGGCAAGCCAATAATATTCCTTAAGCTTATGGCAGGGACAATGCAAAAATGTAATTTACAAAAACGATTTGGAAATCATAATTTAAGGAAGCACTTGAAATAGCCTAGAAACTTTCAGTGCTCCATCTTGAATGATTTTTTGCATAATCCTGATACATTTAGCTGGGATATTAGTATTGTAGTCAGAAGTTACAATATTGCACTAACACTCTCACCTCGCATGTAGGGGAGAGTAAATTCTCCATGTACAATATGTGGCAATAGTTTAATCAACAATGAAGTACAGTACATTGTTTGGGTATGAAATATTATCTCTGGATGCATGAATACCAAGTTGCACTCTTGGAGACGAGAGGGGCAATTAAGTTCAAGTTGCAAAGTAGTAACAAGAAGGAATGAGAGCAGTGATATTATAAGAAAAGTAAACAATGGTAAAAGGATGCACAAGCAGAGCACATGAAAAATTGGGGACCATTTTTAATAATACAAAGACTTAATTGACAATAAAACTGATTATTTTTATTAATATTTTTTTTTGAGAAGTTATATGTATTTGTACCAATATATCAAATAACAAACAAGATATTTTTTCTTAATACCAATGACAAGTCTAAATTACTCCATGTCAAGCAGTCGTCTTCGAACACCATGCATACAAAGTAAACCCTCGATATAACAACCACCCTAAACCTGTTGGACAAATCCTCTGGATAATGAACAGGTGTCCGTTATCCCGAGGAGTTGTCCGATTGTTTGTCACTGCATGAATACTGTACTGTATGTAATAAAAAATAACAGAAGCTGAAAATTAATGAAAAATACAAAAAAAAATAAACAATCATTATCACACATTATGCATCTGTCTACTCATCACCACACTTGCCTACCGTACACCCTAGATTTTGCTACCAGGACGAGGGGGAAAACTTCCGACCACTCCCTGCCTGTGAACTATATGTTATGAATATTTTCTAACCCGTAATATTGGGTAGCTAAATGTAATTATCTTGATTTGTTTTACCTTTTTTACCGAGTTACATGCACACACAATCCTACATACAAATTATGCAAAAATTAATTATAACAATCAGCAAAAGGTATAGCGCTCAAAGAACCTACAGGTTTCCACCGTCAAGTCGTTTGGCAAGTGTGTGGAGGTCATAAGCACAGAGCACCAATGCTAGGAAGATCTGTGTCCATGATACTACAAGGCAGTGTACACTACCTTACAGAATAATTGACCTTTTTGGGCTTTTGCTAGCATTGTTCTTTATATGCTTTTATCATTGCTCTTTATATGCCTACAATTTTAAGTTTTAATGTTACAGTATACAGCTAAAGCTACTTTTAGGGGTGAAGCTGGTGTATTTATTGATTATCAAAATGTATAAAAAAAAAAAAAATTTTATTTCAATAATCAGAGATTTCAACCCCTTCAGTGCAGGACCACTTCAGTTAATTTTATTTGACAATGCCAAACAATTTTATTCCACTCAGGGGTGACCCCCATACACAAGGGGTTAAGAACTACAGGTACAGTATACCCTCAATAACTGGGAATGGTCTTGGCATGTATTAGTGTAACTCAGGAAATGTCGAGATATGTAGAAATACAGTATCTTAGAAAATCTCAGAATATCTAGCCACCTGCATCACCCACTATGCCTGTCACCTATCATGCACGTGTCACCTACAATGATGCTTTATTTTTTGCATGCAGTGTTGGTGTGTTACTTTACAATTAGTAATTACATGTGCACATTTTTTTTAATGGAAGACTTACGTAAAATATTTCATTACTAGGAATGTATTTCAAATTTATACTATACTGTAGTAATGTCTCTATTTCAAAATATGTTACCGTATTTCAAACTCCCAATTAGTTTGAAATAATTATTGGGCAAATGGTTTTAATGTTCTTTTGGATAAGCGAACTTCCCCCAATTATAGTAGTCTGTTGTACCGAGGGTTTACTGTAATGAATAAATACCTTGAAGGGCCATAGGAAGTTGGTGACTGCTTGGAACTCTTCTCCAACGGTGTAAATCTCATGAACAACATCTTCCATACAGATGATTTCCTTGGACTCTGTAGGTATATTAAATGCAAATTAATTCCATCATAAAATAGTCTTTTACTAGAATTACAGAACCAGAATACATTTTGTGATCCAATTTGCAGGTCACAAAGCAAACAATTTTCATTCATAGCACTTCCTTTTGATCCAATAATTTTTAATATTCTTTATATCACAATTTAGTATTAGTTTGTACTCACTCAGGTTATCCTCAATGATTCTATTATCTGTCAATGGGACGCGACGGCGATTAACCTTGGCGAAGCCTCTCTTGTACACCAAATCCTTCACACTCTTGAGGTTGGGGTATCCCCAGGCAATGAATGGTTCAGCAATTCGCAGCATGTTGATGGTGGCCTGTGGGAGTTTTAGTGTTTAATTTTAAAAATAAACACAAAACACCAGACATTTACACACATCCCACTTAATTCAAATTATTACAGATAGGCAATTTACCTTGTTAAGCTTAACGAACACTCCGTTGTTGATTTGAAGAAGGCGGAAAAGTTGGAGCACTTTCCGGACCTTGGGATGGATCTGGTTCACACTGGGGAGAGATTAATTACCATTAGATCAGTAAAGGGTGCATTAGGCAACGGGAAGCCAGATTAAAAAAGAACACGAGTTACTGACATTAAATTAAAAACAATGTGCTTTGATTAACATTAACCAGGCTCACAATGGGTAGGTCCTATCTGATGGACTCAAGAACCTACTTATGGAAAATATACTAACAAACATTGCACATTAGATACACCCCTTTAAAAAGGTATGTTTACAATTTTGTGAAACAATGACAAAAAATAAAGGATTTTGACATCCCTACCAAGACAAGAGGAGTCATAGTGTTCATTTTTTTTAATTCATTGAACCCCTCCATTAAGATAGTGTTTGGGGTGAGCATACAAAGGTGTGACGTTTAAAGATTTGTGTGATGGAGGGGGGGCCCTAACCTGGCTAAATATGCAGGCTCCCACCTGGTCTTAGTTTTGGTTTCCGAGACTTTAAAGTCATCCCAGTATAAATTCCAATCTGTTTACTTCCTGACAGCAAATAATGTTTATACAAAAGACTAAGAATGAAAAAAAAAGGGGGGGGGGGGAATATACAATACTGTTAAAATAACTTTTCTTGGTACAGTATTCTTGAGTTTCTTTACAATCTAGAGTTAAGATACAACTCACCCCCTAATTCTGATGACAAAGGCCAACTTGGACTCAGCAGGAACAATGACAGATCCTTCCCTTTTAGCCTCACGAACCAGCTGGATACCTTGCCTCTCAATGGTGCGATACTCCTTAATATACCTCTCAGCACGACGGAAGATGTTGAATCTCTTTGCCTTCAGAGCTTTCTTGGCCTGGCGGAGAAGATTTTTTTTAGTCTGAAGGATGAGCAGGAAGGCTGAAGCCGGAACACACACTCCTCTATTTCTATGAATAAAACTTATCTCTAGCGTACGTTTAAATCAGGGAAATTTTTAATTATCTTGTACTATCTTAATCATTAAAAGTGCAACAGCACACTTAGGTATTTTATGCTGGGTAGTCCCAGACAATTTTATTCAGCTGATAAACTCCTGCCCTACAAAATTTAATTAAGCTCACAAAATCAGCTGACAACTACTTACCGTATATGAAGAACATGGGCAATGGGTTGTTCAAAATAATATAACATCTACCTTTTGTATTTCATTTACTTTCAAATATGTCTGCTTTCTGATAATTCCAGACCATTGACTTCTGGCTTTCAGAGGTTCTACTGTACATTAATATACAGTAATCAAAACCAGCACAGCCCTCTCCATAGATACAATAAATGCAACCTATAAAACCCCATTACTGGTCACTGGCCTCCTTTTTATGGGGGAGAGGGTGTACCTAACACCCTTGATGTGCTTTGGGAACAATGGTAGATCCAACACTTATAGTTTCACAAATCAACTTGATACCTAGCCTCCCAATGGTGCAGTACTCCTACAACATACTCCAGATTCAAAAACACTTAAAAAAAATATTATATTTGTCAAGACATAATTGCCCTCTGGTAAAGCCATATGGAAGTGATAATCAACAGGTGTCTTTTAATTGCATTGGTAACTATTGCTTACAATAATTTTCCCTCAACTGTATATTTGAGTTGATTTATTATATCTTGTTTCTAATATTTCTACTTTTTGCATACTAAGACATTTAGGCCAAAATTAGTCTGATTTGTTCGCCTCTGTTGAATTTTGTGCTCACCTTCACTAATTTTGTTTTATTGTCATTTCTGATAATTGTTAGTTTACCCCTTCGTTACATATTTTGTAACCACCACATTCTCCTCGACCTCATGCTCTTAATATTCACCTAACAGCTTAAAGACCAGAGGGGAGGAAAGGAAACCATCCCATTACAGGAATCCTCCCATTATGGGTTAGGGCTTCAATGAATATGCCTAGGATTGGGAGGGTTAACAGTATACGTATTGAATGATTTGATGCTCCATTTTTTTTAAAAGGCTCAACTTGCTCCTGGTGTCATGACCAACAAACTCTCTCAGAACTTTACATCATCACCTCCTGTGTAAACGAGAGGGTAATTTTTAGGAGCATTTTAGTGCAAGAGAGAAAAAGTGTCTTATACACAGGCAACTGCAGCCTTCAGACTGCTAAACCTTTTCAATAAACTGTTAATTATTATTATTATTACATGTATTAAGCATACACCGTGTAGAGTACAGAATTTATTTTTAACCTTGACCCGCATCATCTAATTTTTGGTATGCCACTTTCCCAAACCCCCTATTTCCCAATGGACTCAGTCCTGCATATGCACCCCTTGTTGAAAGCTTATGTCCATTACTTGCAGATAGTTATCATTGTATCAAATGCCCGAATACATGTACAGTAATATTGAAAATTTTACTTACTTGGATAACAGCAGTAATCCTGGTTTTCTTCTGAACACTCCTCCTTTTCCTTCGCTTCAAGAGGACTTCAGGCACAGCAGGGAGCTTCTTACCTGCATCAGTTTTTGGCTTTGGTGCTATCTTCTTGGGCCTGGGCAGGGGTTTGGTTTTGAGTTTGATTTTTGAGGGCACAACAACCTTCTTGGGTTTGGCAGAGGGAGGAGCAACCTTCCTGGCCGTAGGGGCAACCTTTTTCCTCAAGGCTGGATCAGTGGGCCGCTTCTTCCTCTGCCTCACCCTATTGGCGGGAGCCGCCTTACTTTCACTGGAAAACAAATTTTAAACTTTTTGTAAACCCGTAAAAAAGTATAATGACATTTCTGAAATGACAAAGCATAAAAATATAAGTACAGTACCACATATGGTTTTTGTTTATAGTAGTCATGCTCTCCTCACTTTATGGGATTTTCTCAAGGGAAAGAGCATCTATCTCCTACAGTAACACTACCCGAGTTCCTGTTATCATGTAATACTTGCCCAGCATTACTTAAACATTATTTAAAATTGTAATTTCTGAAAACAGCACTACCACCAGTTGTTGTTCGATTTTGCCACCTGTTTTTATCATTATAGCGAGTATTTTAAGACCACCCGTCTACCACCCTATTTGTGAACCAGTTCCTTCCTATCTCCCTCCTATACCTAAACTTATCCAACTTAAATCCGTTGCTCCGAGTCCTATCCTGCTCGGATATTATAAGAACTTTATCTATATCTTCTTTATTGATTCCTTTCACCCACTTAAATACTTCCATCATATCTCCCCGCACTCTTCATCTTTCTTGGGAATGCAAGTTTAGTTTCTTTAATCTATCTTCATATGGAAGGTTTATAAGTCCCGGAATCACTTTCGTCATTCTTCGCTGCACCGACTCCAGTGAATTGATATCTATTCTATAATAAGGGCACCAGAACTGAACAGCATAATCGAGGTGCGACCTGACTAGCACAAGATATAGTTGCAATGTAACCTCCGCACTCTTATCACTTACACTTCTAGATATAAAACCTAATACTGTACTTAATACAGTACAACCAAAATTGACCCTATTTAACAATGGCAGATCTTCTTGGCCACGAAGAAGTAACACAAATAAATGCATTACTTAAAAATTTAATTTTTGCACATGCTCAAATTCCTTCACAAATCCATAAACGTTAGTGACAAAACTAAAGGTTATATTTTCAAATCAACTAAAAATAAAAAAAAATAAAAAAAAACGATTTACATTATATTTTCCATTATTGCATCAAATAACTCTTTACCAAAGTTTCCTCTTAAAACTAAGCTTCACAAATACAATAGATACATAGGTATTCTTCTAGTTTAAGTCATCTGGTGGGGGGGGGGGCTAAGGTTAGATTTATAGTTCCTGGGGTATTATTATAGTTTCGGTCATCCAGTGAATTTTAAGGTTTTAAGTTACCCCCGCCCAAGAGAGGTTTGGTACTGGACAACTCGTACCCAAGCAAATCGTAACCAGAACATGTCAAGTCGCACTCAATTACAAGATAACTCGTAACCAGTTTACGAGAATTTTCGTACCCGTATATATACATACGAATATACCGTATATCACAGCGTATAAGTCGACCCGATTATTTTTAGGTTAAGTCTGAATTAGGTCTATTCTTGGCATACAAGTTGACTGCAGAACTTCCAAGCAGCTTCCCTCTGATCATCCTACGCCAAGTCCTTCGATAGTCATGTATCAGTCAGGTTATTCGGCAACTTTGTGATACGTGAAGATCGAAGGACTTGGCGTCGGATGATCAAAGGGATGCCGCCTGGGTCACTGACTGTGCTAATCTCTCGTTTTTGGAGGTCCACTAATCCTATGTGAGCGAGTTCAGTTTTGAATACAAGTTCAGAATTTGTTTCATAGCTAGAGTACCATTTCAGCCCTTGTCAAGTTCAGTACTTGTAGTGCAATGTTTGTGTGATGGAATAACATACTTATGTAATGAGATGCAACTATTTTTAAGCCTGCATTACATTTCACTATTTCCCTGCACTTTCAAGATTTACAAGGCTCAGTACTTGGACCATTATTATTTATTATATACATAAACGACATAGATATCAGTGTAGACAGCAACATAAGTAAATTTGCTGATGACACTAAAATAGGGCGTGTAATTAAATCTGATGAGGACTCCCCAAAACTACTGTACAGGAAGATCTAAAAAAAATTTTTTAATGGTCTGAAAAATGGCAGATGAAATTCAATGTGGACAAATGTAAAGCACTCAGTATAGGAGATGTAAACAGGGAAACCAGAAGAACAACGATGTTATTGATAAATCCGAATGTGAGAAAGATTTAGGAGTAATGATAAGTAGGAATCTTAAGCCAAGTAAACAATGTGTCTTTGCTCAACACAAGGCTAATAAAGTACTTGGGTTCATACAAAGGAGTGTTAGTTACAAGACTAGCGAGGTCATCCTAAAACTATATACTGTATTGCGCTTGTGAGACTTCATTTGGATTACGCAATTCAATTCCGGTCACCGTATTACAGAATGGACATAGAATCCTTGGAAAGCGTTCAGAGAAGAATGACAAGACTAATCACGGGCATTAGGAACCTTGAGTACAAAGACAGGATAAAGCATCTTAATTTGCACTCCCTAGAGAGACGTAGAGCGAGGGGCGATATGATAGAGGTGTATAAATGGAAATCAGGGCTTAACAAACGGGACATTACAAAGGTACTCAAATTATCCAACCAGGAGCAAACTCGTAACAATGGTTTTAAATTAGACAAATTTAGATTTAGGTGCGAAAAAGGTAAACATTGGTTTAGAAATAGAGTAGTGGATAAGTGGAACAAGTTACCAAACATCAACATTAACTCGAATACGCTGGACAGCTTCAAACATAGGTTGGATGGATATATGAGCAATAGGGGTTGGGTGTAAATGGGACTACCCAGTATGGGCCAATAGGCCCGCTGCAGTTTCCTCCATTCTTATGTTCTTAATTTTTTTTTAATCATATAAAAAACTAAAATGCATGGTATCTATACTAATAGGTATGGACTATCTCTTGAATTGGGTGTAAGTAGTCATGGGTACAACTTAAATTGTACGAGTTGTCTTGGGTACGAGTTGATCCCTAACCCACGTACTGCCACATCATTTGATGTTCTGGTTGTGTACCACATACTATGAAAACAATAAAATTTTAAATATCTCGTTTATATGTAATGTGCGCCGAAAATTCCATTGAAGAAAAGTGTCTTAAAATTGTCTAAATTCCATTACAACTGTAAAATTTTCGAGATTCATTTAGAGGCAACAAATGAAATACCCAAAACCTGGCAACAAGGATAGCAAAGAAACTAATTGAAAGCGGACATACATTAGGACTGGACTGAATAGTACAGGAAACCTACAATGGATCAAACACTACCCTGCACATTTGATTAAATAAGAGGCTTGTGGGTCTTTCTCACATTACTATAACAATCCACTAATACAGTACATAATTCTCATTCCTCTTTTGTTGTAACTCCATCAACCATGTAATCCTCAATTCTAACTTTGAACTGTATCTGCAAGGACTAAGAAAGGTTATATTACCGTAGTCTTCTGTGACTATAAACTACGACACAAATCCACTAATCCAGACGTACTATACCGTCAATCACATAAAAACATAAGTATGGAGGAAACTGCAGCGGGCCTATTGGCCCATACTGGGCAGTCCCATTTATACCCAACCCCTATTGCTCATATATCCATTCAACCCTATGTTTGAAGCTATCCAGCGTATTCGAGTTAATGATGATGTTTGGTAACTTATTGCATTCATCCACTACTCTTCCAAACCAATGTTTACCTATCTCGCCCCTAAATATAAATTTGCCTAATTTAAAACCATTGTGACGAGTTCGCTGCTGGTTGGATAGTTTGGGTACCTTTGTTATATCACCTTTGTTTAGCCCTGTCTTCCACTTATACACCATCATATCGCCCCTCACTCTACGTCTCTCGAAGGTGCTTCAACCTGTCTCTCAAGGTTCCTAATGCCCGGAACACATTTTACACTGAATTACATTGTTTGTATACACTCACTGACTAAGTACATACTGAACTAATGTTTATTTGAATGACTTTCTAGTGAAAAAGTATCAATCTCTTTTCCCATCAACAAGCATGTAAACCTTCACTATACACAAAATGTAAACATTGCAATTCATGTCCATTTTTCAGAGTTTTCTTCACAAATATTTACACAACACCATCGAATAATACCACCCAAATATTAGTCTACATAATGAATATCACTAATGGCTTTTGTCTCATCGGATGACGAAAATATTCCACGACAAAACAAAGTCCTCAGATCACTCACGTATCAGCCATGTCGTTCACTCCAGAAAGACCGAGGAGAGGATTGTGGGTAACGGCGAGCGAGGACCAATCTGAATCAAAGTATTTATTTGTATTTAATCATCCTATTTCCAATGGATTATAGATATCAATAGTATCCATGCAAGGAATATACAATCTAAGAATATATATGATTAATTAGCATCTTTAGGTACGTGCGAATTTTAATTTTATAGAATCAAAGAACTAAAAAAGAGGAATGTTCCAAATTCAGTACACAAATCACTAAGGTCTTCTCGTTGATGTCCAATATTTTAATCCTTTTTTTTATTCATGAGCTCCCAAGATTATGCAGACAAATTAAAAAATATAAATACACAAGACCTTCTTATTTGGTTATTCATTGGTAAACTGTATATTGTACACTAGTATATATAGTATATTTGTTAATTTATCTATCTACCTATCTGTCTATCTATGTATATCTGTCTATATACTTATCTATCTATATATCTTTGGTCTAACTTCTTATAAGAGGCCAGGGAATCTTATATCTCTGATGAAGACATACAGAATATATGTAACAGAAACGTGACCTATCGCCCAAGCGGCTAACGAGCCAATCAGTGGTGAAGAGGATAAAAGTAAAAAAGTTATTGAAAATTATTGAATCTATCTATCTATCTATACGACCGTTGATAGGTGGATAAAATATATATGACTGGTGCCGCCAAGTGGTGGCTGTGTACAAAATTAATCCAATTTCTCCTAGTGAAGTAATTACCCAAATTCCCAACTTTTTTTATTCTGAAAGGACAAAGATCATGGGAGAGAGGGAGAAACCTATGATGGATTTAACAGACTACTATATTATAGTAGTTTACTATATTTATGACTAATATATTATAGTAGTCTGTTAAATCGATCATATGTAGCTAGATATATCATTGAGTGGATGCATCTCCCTTCCTCCCATGATCTCTGTCCTTTTAAAGTCAAAGAGAAAAGGAATATTTCACCCAAAAGATTACCTAAATCTTATCAGTGTCATTAAGATTCTACGGTAAAAATAATAAGAGTTGGATTTTGGGTAATGAATTAACTCTGAGAAATTGGATTAGTTAATTATTTTTAGTTTTGTACACAGCGACCCCTTGGAGGCCCCAGTCACACCAAACTCGGGTGAAGTTGTGAATGTGTGCGCCCATTGAAGTCAGGGGATCTCTTCACCTCACAGGGCCTCCTAACAACCCTTGGTACTTCATAAGATAACCGCGTCGGTGGCTGATTAGCGGTAATAAAGAATGCAGACTTGGTAAAGTGGTATGAAGTATGATAGTAATAGTGTTTGGTATAATAATTAATCAGTAGAATCATCATTTACTTTAGCTAAGTAAGAAGTTAAACATTGTACTGAACTATATCCACGATAACTTGTACTCTCTAAAGTGAAATGAAAAACTGAAAAGAATTTGAAAAGTATAAATTTCAGACAAAAATGCTGTAAAGTATTCTTAATTTTTTTATTTATCTCCCTACCTTAAGAATACAAAGTTCCTTGCATGGTCTCTAAGAAATATTTACCTTTTTGAGTCATCAGATTTAATTATACTGTACACCATTTTTTTGTATTGTCATTAAATTTATATATGTTTCTGTCTACTATATCGATATAAATAATGTATATACACCGGGTAAAAAATAATAATGGGCCAAGTACTGTAATAGTATACTGTACTGAACCATGGGATGATGTTACCCTCGTCAGATACTGGAATTTACCTTTTGAGGAGCTTTTTCGGTAAATTTGCATATACATATACATATATATATATATTTTTTTTTTTTGGTGGGGGGGGGGCGGCGTTTTCCGACAAAAATTCTGGCTCAGCGAATACAAAATACACAAAAAAACACTAGAAAAACATGAACCTTACCTAACCTAACATAACTGACTCTCACCATTTGATGGAATCACGTATTTCTTACCTTACTGAAGTCGGGAGAACACCATGAGATCAAAAAACTGCTATAGTTCCTTCGGTTTTTTTCCCAAAAACTCGCAATCAGCTCCATATAATTGAAGTGACACCCATCGCAGACTTCCATGGTCAGAAATTAATTTGAATTTTGAAATACGAGAGACCCAAAATAAGAATAAAATTTGATTGGGCCCAAAATACCGAGAATTAAACCACAAATCATTTTAATTAGTTGCCCCCCAATAAACGCTTTTGATTGGCCGCGTGACGTGTACGAGAACGCATGCGTGTGATGATTTATGAAGGAGACACGCAGTGTGGGAGGTGAGGTAGGCGATAATGGCGGAAGATTAATGGAAGAAAATAGAGAAAATTTTGGATACGCTATCTCCGTTATTATATATTTGTGACGGTAATGTAATAGAAGAAAATTATCTTATAATTAGACATCTTATTCAAATATGAGAATAGATTAGGGGTAGGAATGTTGTGTGTGGAAATGCAATAATACCGCTTTTTCACCCTATATGTCAAAGATATGGGCATTTTCCTCACCAGATACAGATATATTCTTCGGACCGAGGGTGACTGTTCCAAGAGCAAAAAAAATAGGCTAGTACAATAGTGTGTATTGTCTTAGAAAAAATTTGCATCTGTCTTTATCAATTTCATATGTTACAATATGAAGTACTGTACTGTACTGTACTCAAGAGGAGGGTACTCAGAGGATGTCCCATTTCTTTATTTTTGTTGTCGTCTTGGCAGTATGTTAGGCACGTTGGTATTATTATCGTTTTGGTCATGCAGCGAATTTTTCGGATTTTGAACGATTCTGACCTACTTCCAAATAGGTGCATGACCGAAATGATAAAATTTTACCGGCACTTTTAGAGTTGGGAAGCTGAAATTTTGGCACAATGGCCAGGTACCCACCTCCCTTTATTTTTCTTATATTGAAGGCTACACGCGGTACTACTGTACTGTATTTTTATCTATCATTATTTTTTCATGCTGTCACCTGTAGCTTTATCTGCTATGTAGTTTTTAATTCTTTGATCCTATTACATGATTTAATTTTGTTAGGTAAATTATTCCATTCCATTAAAGTTGTAAAACATTAAACTTTTACTTGACCACTTTCACTAGGTACCATAACTTTTTATCCTCTATCCTAATGCTTGTTGCCTTGGTGGTCTCTTCATTACAGTGGTTGTCTTGGGTATAACAGAGGTGTGGGTTATTGTGGAAGTTGAGTCTTGAATATCAAACAAAAGCTTCAGTCATGGAAATTCAGTTAGCAAGTGAGCTGCCTCGAGTGAAGGCGATGGTTGGTGTCCAAGGATCAGCAAGACCTCGGCTAGTTACTCCTGGAGAAATCATATCCCAAGACACAAGCTTTATGAGGTATGTAACTTTCAGGCTAAGAGTTATTAAGTAAGGTATTATTTAACTTATGAATTGGCAGAGGACATTTTGTCATGTCATGTTCAGAGTTACCCTAGTAGAGATGTAGTGAATGGTAAATGTATACAATAAGAACACGACTGAATTGCCCAATTTTTGTTTTAGAAAATTTCCTATTTAAAGAGGCACTGAGACTGAGAGTGATTGTTAAAATAAATGTTTAAGTCCTTTTTTTTTGTCATGGTAGATGTGGTATTATCTACCTACTAAGAAAATGAGCAAATTGAACTAATAAAATCCAGATTAACCTACCCAGCCTTATCAAACTTGACTAAAATACCCCGTACTGTATTGGGTTGGTTGATTTATTCTGCTGTAAAAGGTGGTTGATAATTAATATATTATTTTAGGTGCCCACCTTATTACTGTCATGAAATATTTTATTTTTTTTATTTTTTTTAAAGGAAGTCAATTTTAACAGTACTGTAGCTGTACAGTCCAATACAGTACAGTGCAATAAGTAAATTACAAATGTGGTAGAAATTGTGTCTTTTAAGCTTGTACACTTGTGTGTTTTTGGGAATTTCACCAAAAGGTCTGTTTGTGCAGAAAATACAATTCTGGTGTGTGTGTGTGTGTGTGTGTGTGTGGCATGAGAAAATAACCACTTTGAATTTACCTAAAAAATGGCAGGTGGTGACAAGCTCAAAATTCAACTTTTTTTTTTTTTTTTTAAATTTTCAGTTTTAGTTTTTCATTAATGTTTGACGCACAAATTATTGGCTTTTCATTTTTTCATAAATGTGCAAATAACTTTTGACACATTTTTCGTTTCATACATGGCACATCTACAATTAACTGCCAGGGTCAGACCATTCCATATGTGGCTGGTCTACATTGAATTAGTAAAGAATCTTACATGGGTTTTTCAGGTAAATTCGATAAACCCTGTGCACTGGAACTGGGTAATGATTGGTCTGGGCTGTTTTAATCCCTTGGAATGTCCAGCATCCCTGAATATCTTGTATAATGTATATTTGGTACTTTGAAGCAAATGCTAACCTTTTTAATCTTTAATGGTTTCTAATATCCTTGGGATGTTTTCAAAACAGGATTTTAAGCTCAATGACATCTTTTTACTGTATGGTCTTTGAAGGATGTGGATTAACCTTTTCCTTCTAACTACAGTAATTAGATGCATATGTTTGCTTCAAATGGGGAGTTTTGTTGGCCAAACTGGTCTTCTGAAACCTCCTTCTGGGCTAGGTCTCATTCACCATGCTGGTGGTGGAGGTCTCCCAGATCTGACAACTATGGGTATTCACAATCCCCACTTGTCCCCCTGATATTTTCACTAAAAGTTGGCTGTTGTTAATGCTGCTCAAATATATATTACACATTTATTAATAAATTCCATTGTTGAACTATTGAGAGACATTTACTTGGCCATTGTATGGGTATTACAAAGCTTCCAAGTTGAGAGAATATATGCTCAGAATTTAGTAAAAGTTAGAGAATGGATTTGTTACAAACCTCAGGTCATTCAAACTGGCATGAAAATCTTGGCCATGAATACCATGACTATTCCCAGAAAAAGGTTAAATCAACCCCCTGTTACCTGATGAGCATAGTTTATAACAAATTTATGGTCAACTTTGTGTTTTTATGGATTCAAAAATATTTCCTCATATATCAAGCTATTTTCTTTTGCAGAGGTCATGGAACATATATGGAAGAAGGTGTTCAGGTGGCATCAGTTGCAGGTTATGTGACAAGAGTGAATCGGCTCATAACTGTGACTCCTTTACGACAAGTATATCAGGGTAAGATATGGCTTGACACGCCTATTACATCCCATTGAAATAGGTTTGATTACCATATATACTGGCATATAAGGCAATTTGGTGTATAAGATGACCTTAAATTTTAATTTAAAATTTAAATTTTACGCTATACTGTACTCATCTTATAAAACAATTATAATATAGTGTATGAACCTTCATTATATGGTTTAGGTTGTCACCATGGGTGACCAGTGAAATCTAAATGCATAGGCTTATAAATAATAAAAAAATTATCCTTCCATAATGTTTATTTTAAATGAAAAATGCATGATGGTTTATTATTATTATTATTATTTTTAAAGTAACTATTTTACCAGCTCACGGAGACCCAACAAAGTTCTCATAGAGCTAGGTATGCTGGTCTAGCTTTGATTTTTTGAGACAAGCCTAACTTATTTCTCTTCATGGTTTAAAGCCTACCTGATAATAAGATACTCACTGTATCAGAAGTATGAAGCACTGGCTCAACCATAGTTTGACTGGGTGAAGACCTTATTGCAGCAAAAACCCTCGTCTGCTCATTTAACATATCTGGTATGGGTCTCATGGGTCATTCATTTCTTTCCCTCAGTCATAAAAAGTAGGTTTCATACTTTTTTTTTTTTACAACAACTTTCTCTTCAATTTTTACAAGTAACCTCTCGTAATCTTAACATTCTGCTCAAATGAACATTTTTATCATCCAATATATTATAATTGGATCTTAGGGACAATCTATTTATTGATTAATCCTGTTGGTTCATGTTACTGAAAAGATTGATATAATACAGAATTAAAGATCAAGTGATAAGTGTACTTTCGTTTACAGGAGCAGTTGGTGACACAATAGTTGGACGCATTACACAAGTTCAGAACATCAGGTGGAAAGTTGATGTCAATTCTAGATTGGATGCAGAGCTCAGACTGTCAAATATTCAGCTACCAGGAGGAGAGCAGGTAAAATGAATTGGTGTGGAAATTAAAGAAACAAAAAAAAATAAAATAAAAAAAATATCCCAGAAGTGCTCTGCACCAATTGTGTGTGTATATAAATAAATTATATATATATATATATATATATATATATATATATACCTTAGTCAGTTAAACTTCAAAGGCAAACTTCTTCACTTGCAATATACAGAGTATGATTGAGACCTGTCAACACGTGATGCAGAGAGTCTTGGTTGACAAGCATAAACCTAAGTTATTGGAAAAATCATGTGGAAAATGCATATAGAAAAAAAGAAAAAGTCTTTTGTTTGTTCATCTCATGATGCAATGCTTGACATGTCAAATCACATAGGTAATAAAGAAGGTTTACTATACCTGCATGTGATTTGGCAGTTGAGTGGATAAAGTGTTTGCTGCCTGTGCTGAGAGTTGCTGGTTCTCCACCAGGGAATCCCTTGTTCACCCAGCTGCTGATGGTTTCCTAAATTTACAGTTGGGGAAGCTAAAGCATTTAAGTACAGTGGACAGTATAATGGGCTGTCAGATTTATAGGACCCACTTTAAATTCCACTGTACTGTACCTGAAATTACATAAGCCCTGTGCAGTGATAAACTGTTTTTTACCTTGTACTTTTAGGTGTTTTTTTTTCAGTTTTAGGACAAAACGGGTTTCTTGTTACTTTTTTAATACTGTATATTATTTCTCTTTTTCTACTGCCATATCTATTTTAATATTTTTTTGTATGTAACAGTTCAAAACACAGTTTTTAACAAAAATTCCTGTGTTTCAGCGTCGTAGTAGTTTAGAAGATGAACGTGGAATGAGAGGACTGTTAAGAGAAGGTGATTTGGTGTGTGTGGAAGTTCAGAAGATAAGTGATGATGGACTGCTGAGACTTACTGCACGGTCCAATAAGTTTGGAAAGGTTTGTTAAGAATTGTTGGATAAGTTCATTTTAAATTTTATCAAATGCCTATGACAAGTAAACTATCCCAATACTGGATTAATTCTTGCAAACCTGTTACATTAATGGGAAGGTCTCCTTTTCCCACCATTGCTGACCTTGAAAATACAAATCTTGTATGGTATTGAATATTGTACAGTTTACTTGTACAATACTGTACTGTATATAGAAATTCAGCTTACCTTAATTATTTCTTCAAAGCACTGTACAGTATTTCATAAATTGCTATTTTCAAAGTCCTTTAAAATTAACATGGTTTTGAAAATTTCAAAATTTGTGCACTGCCATCACTACTTTGAGTGGTCTCTATAATTATCTACTCCATGTTAGGTGAATATTAAGTTCTACTTATTTAGTACACATCATATTTCCATTTATACATAAGGCTTTATTGAGCTTATTTTGTTATTTAATAGGAAAAAATAATTGCTTATGTGTGCATCTGCTAACCTACCGCAATCAGGTGTTTTGATCCCATCACCAGTAACTCTTGTTTTGTATTTTCTCAGCATAATTGTTGCTCACCTTTGCTTCCTTTGATATACAGTATGTTCTGCATCTCAGGATGGTGGATAGCACCTATTCCTAGGGTGTCTATGAGGTCAGTGCAAGGAGTCTATTAAAGGTGTGTGAGAAGCTTCAACTGCCTAGTGTATGGTGGGAACTAATGACTTTAATCTTTGCAACTGTCACAAAACCCAATTCCTCACATAACTGACTGGTCACAAGATGGAGTGACAGCACCAATTTTCATTCTCAAAATATCTCGGATGTAGCAGACACTTTATTCCTTTTTCGACATTTTCCCTACAACATGATAGAGTACAGAAATTTAATTTATGCAATCTTCTTTTCTTCACACCAGTGAAATGCAAGAGATTTAGTAGATTTTCATTCTGAGAAATACTATTGCAATTTTGTGACTACTTAAACACTTCACAAATTTTGTCTTCAAAATATTTTCATGAGAAAAGACAATCCTTCAAGTTAAAGATTTTGTTCTCTTGCAGCTTTCCCAAGGAACCCTGTTAGCTGTTTCACCGTCACTCATCGTACAGGACAAACAGAGGATGCATGACCTGCCATGTGGTGCCCGAGTTGTGTTTGGAGCAAATGGATATGTTTACATAACACCAACAGTTCCCCAAGAGCAAACCTCAACATACACAGTGAACTTTGAAGAGGTAACACACTCTCTCTTTCTCTCAACATTTTTACAATATGTATGGATTACTTTATAGATAAAGAAGCGTTTTGATAATTAGGTTCTATTTGAAGTCCTAATTAATTTGTCAAAATTTTGAAAATCATTGAAAAGAATTTTAAGTTACTTGGAGCAACATCAAGGTTCAAAATGTCATTCCATACAGCTGTGTACCTTTATACTCTACTGTACAAAAATTATCTGAAAGTGAGTGGTGTTAGGTTTGGCCATGGGTTATTAAAATGAATTATAGAAGTACAGTGAACAGCAGAAAAAAAATACTGTACTACAAATTGTGGCTTAGGAGAAACTGCACAAATTCATTGTTTGGTGGAACAACTGCACACAAAACACTTAGGCATTTGGAAGAGCATTAAAATTGTCAAAGTCATAAGAGTGAAAATACAAATTGTGGATGAGTACAGGCTTCACAGGGACAATATATTGATGGAACAAGAGCACACAAAGGACTCAGTTTTAAGAAGATGTGAATGGAAAGTGTCCAGCAGGCAGCATCCTCATATCATGTGGATCAGGTTACCACTTTAGCTAATCAGAGGCTGAGGCAGGTAACACCTCACATAAAAAATTACTCATGTAAGCGATAACCATGTAGGCCATCAAGGTTTTGTATCACACATTCAAGATTTCAGACTTCTGAAGTACTAAATATATGTACAATAACTATAAAGTTTCGAAAATAAGCCAAATTCCAAAATGTTGGCATGCAAAATTGTGAGATTGTACTGCTGTATATGGCAGTAAGGATGTGTCAAATTTGCTGATCATTTTAATTATGGTAAATTAGTAAAATTTTAACATGAAAGAATATCTGTGTTTTATGCAGCTGATCAAAAAGGAGCAAACTTCAAAGGTACCGCTAAGTCTATCCATTACTGACATTTTTGTGCCCTATATTGCAGTCCTTATATGAGGAGCTCCGGGCCATAACCTACTAAGAGCCAAATGTCGCTGAAACGTGTTATGTATTGCGTTGTATTCCCCAACCTCTCCTTTGTCCCCTGGGTATGTCAGAGAGCTAATTGGGAACCTGTACATCTGGGTGAGAGGCATCTGAAAAGACTTGTATGTCACACATTCCTCCCTGAGGATTTTCCTCCATTTTCTATTTTGGCACTTCGCAGATTATGGTCTGGAGCTCCTCATATAACATCAAGTATATATTCAAATGCAAAATAAAACATAACAAATTTTAAATGCTACACAGTATGGTTCCCCACACACACACCACTCTTCTCCACACTTTTTCTTATCCTCCTGCATTAAACATTGCACAATTCCTGGGTAGTGGCAGGTTCTGTCTGTTGCTCTTTATAGTGGTGTATCTTGCATGTCATTTGTTTTATCTACTCGGCTATAAAATTTGATATACTACTGTACCATATATGCCTCAATTCTCCAATTTTTGCAGGTGACAGTTGACGTTCGAAAAACAATTGGGCGTTTACGTAACTGTATTAAACTTCTGGCATATCATTCCATTATGATTTCACCAACAAGTGTGATGACTGCATTTGATCTGTCCACAGAACAAGAATATGAGGTAAGTTACTTTTGAATTTTTGGAATTTTTATCTGATGGTGATGATTTAAGGTTTGCACTTGCTTGCATCCTGTGTTATTGTCAAAGCAGTTATATTATCTCAATCAACCTCCAGAATTTGACCATTAATACTGTCCTTCAGATGCTTATGGTCCATGGCTCATATATTGATGAGTCTTGGACTGTATGACATTGGAAAGTTATTAAAGTTAGTATCGTTGTCCCCTATTATGAACTGTTTAAAAGAAAGGTTAATTTTCCTGTGAGGTGCAATACCACTTTAGCAACAAAATATTTAGTATCACCTCTTCCCATTTTTAGCTGGCATTAGATAGTTGTGCTGCCTAGTGAAGTGTGGCTGGCCGTAAAGAGAGGATTAATCCTGAAATTCTCGTGATTGAATGAAGATTGATGCCTGGAGAATTTATGAGGTGTGCACTATAGTCTTGGAGATCATATGCTCATTCAACCTCCTTCCTCTACTTTCCATGAGGGAAAAGCCTTTGTTTTCAGATACTTTACTCCATTCTAAGAGAGGTTTACTGATCATTTAGAATTTTAGATTAATCTCAGCTACTAATGTCAGGTCTTCTGGGCCAAGAGCAGTGCCTTAATGCTTACAGTCAAGCCACCTAGCTCCAGAGTTAATCTTTAAATAGGATTTTAGGGTCAATTCTTTATTTATCCTCTATGATTTTGTTTATACGGTTGTACAGAGTAATTAAATGTGTAAGAAAACTGTTTATAGTAGTTTAAATGTACTGTATATGAAGACTATGTTTTCCTTGTAGTAGTGCTCAGAGATATAATAAAACTATAATTTGTTAAAAGTAGTGCTCAAATGTATATAAAAAAATATATTTTCACCTTTGCATTCAGTTACTGAATGTACAGTACAGTATTGCTTTATATCATGAATACTAGACTGACAAATTTTTCTTATCTTTTCAGGTTAAAGACTTGTTAAAGCCTGATATAATGCAGGATGTAGCTATGGCAACAGTACAACTGATGAATGAATAGGAACATTGAAATAATTTTTACATCTCTCAGCAGAAATAGACAACTTTTTGGTTTATATGATTAATAAAACCTGTAGAATACCTTGCTGTATGGGGCACTTGTTAGAAAGGAAATGGCATAGAAAATAACTTGCATCTGACATCCAGTTGTCATTAATAAAGTACTGTAGATCATTTTACTGCTGTGTAAGCCATCAGAGGGATCTTCGATATTCAGCCACATTGAACTCTTGTGGCCATGAGGTCATCTTGTTGTTGAGTACAATAATTCAGTTATAGAATGACATTGTTCTTGAAAATAATGCAACCAATGTAAAAACAGCTACTGCTCAATCAGTTACATCCAGAGCCCAATAAAAATATTATGCACTTCAGTATTTTACAGACTAGCATAAGTACTGTACTGTAATACAAGTATAGGAGGTCCTCATTATATGTTGGGGGGTGTGTTCCAGAGAAAAGCCACTTTTAGTGAAACCTTAATACTGTAATGAGGAATTTTCTCTCTACACACACACACATATACAATACTAACGGTGAAATAAATAATTGTCCTAAGGGCAAACACATAAAGGGAATATACATTTCTTTCTACACAAGTAAAAATGTAACCCCCTCGCCCCCGTTCAGCAAATGTTATTCGCGGCCATTTTGAGAACCTAACCCCAGCGAATTTGGGGGGGGCCCCTGTATATGCATTCCAACATGTACAGTACAATAATACCCCTTGAAAGCTCAGAAAATCGGCATACAACAAGGTCATTTAACATACTATACACTATACTGGAGTATAGTATTTTATATGGAGACACATTGCTAGCAACATTATTTGTTACCTTCGAGTGATAAATAATGGCTCAATTTGGCTACTTTTACAGTTCGTCAATTACGGAGTAGGCAGATGCATAATAGTGCACTATAATATTATTTATGAAGTGTTTATAAATACACTACAGTATTATTTACTAAGTGTTGACAGTTGTTTTGATAAACACCAACCACCTTGAACAGTGTCAAAAGAGATGCCTGAGAGAAGGAGAGCACTGGCAATACAGCGAGGGGGAGCAAGGACGGTCACCTATTTGTGCTTTGTGAACAAAGCACTCGGAATTTAATACAACGCAATAACTTGGCTTGGGTGAGGTGTGGGGTTTATTCAGGAAAATTTTTAGTTTACAGAAATATTTTATTACCCAACACCAAATGAACAAAAATAATATGATAATTATGCTGAAATTGCATACTTTTGTTTTAACCCGGTCGAGGGGATAAGCAGTTGTCCAGCCATCCACCTCCCATCACTCCCACACAGAATCCACCTCCCATTCTTAATTTTTCTTATTTTACAGTATAATTTCTTTATTTCTAAGTTGCATTAGAGCATTGGAATACAGTAATATTTCCACAACTTTTATGGTTTCTTATGTAACAATGGCACATGCACAGCCTTCATAGCTAACAAGTGCTCATGTGTTATAGTGATTTCTAGACTCGATGTTCTCCCACACAGACTATACCCGTACACTCTTATTTTTTCTTATTTTATTTTATATCTATATTACTGGACAGTAGAGTATACAGTATTTTCTTCATTCAAAAATCACACTGGCTCATTGAAATGACTTAAACACAAATTCTGTGGTTACAGTGCTTGCACATAACAGGCATTAATTAGCATTCAGTTGTGTGAGAGGCGAGTGATGTACAGTATATTTTGGCATGGTAGAAACTTAACACTTGGAGGGCTTTTTTATTACTTATCATGGTTATTTTTACATTAATTATTACATTCCAGTATAGTATGTGATTTTAACGCCATTTATGAGTCATTCGCATACACACAGACTTAATATAAAACAGTGGATGATGCAGACGACATGGATGTGAAACATTTGACATACTGTATAATGAAAACTCTTTCCTGTATTTGTTACCAACATATACAGTGGTCCCTCGGTTAACGAACGATTCGATTAACGAATTCCCTCCCATAATGATCTTCAATTCGGTTAACGAACAAAACTTCGATTGACGAAATCCTTACGAACATCACGTTTTGTTTTGAGCATCAGCTGATGGGCTAGTCTGCCAATTCAGTAATCTGTTCTATGTTTACATTCGTTTCCAGTGGAGTAAATATCAAGAAAGTTGTGCTCTTTAATATTTTTGCATTTTTAATATTAAAATTATTAGTCATTTTAACATTTATTTAACATATTGATATTATATGCAGTACAGGGAGCTAGGTTTTTGTGCGCCCATCAGACGCTTGACTCGGCCACCAGGTATCAGTTGGGCTTTGTTGACAGTAGAGTTAACATCTATTTTGTTGGTGTCTTGAATATTTTTGCATTTTTACATTGAAATTATTGGGCATTCTGAAATTTAGTTACCATTGATAATATATAGCGCAGTGCAGTGTTGATGTAAATAAAATAATCTTGAATTACACCTAGTGAACTTAAAATTTTATTGGTGAAATGACTGCACCAAGCATGGGTCCCCTGAAAGGTGATTTTTCCTCCATCACCACTTCCTTCTCTTCTCCCTTCTCCTCCACCCCCACTTCTAATTCCCATCATCATCATCAGCCAGGAACCTTCTACATACACACCTCAAAGTAAGGGTGGTGGACGAGTGGAACAAGCTTAGCAACTTTGTAGTAAGTGCTGGAACGCTGGAAAGTTTCAAAAGGAGACTGGATAGTTTCATGGATGATAGAGAGTGGTAGTAACTCTCGACAGGAGCTGCCATGCACAGGCCAACTGGCCTATTGCAGACTCCTTATTTTCTTAGGTTCTTCTTATATGGCCACACACTGGCAGTATGTCCCTCAAGCAGATGTGAGCAAGACTAAATGTAAAGCGTGTGGCCAGACATATGGCCACACACTGGCAGTATGTCCCTCAAGCAGATGTGAGCAAGACTAAATGTAAAGTGTGTGGCCAGACATATGGCCCGTAAATGATTCCGGGACTTAAAAACCTTCCATATCAAGATAGGTTAAAGAAACTAAACTTGCATTCCCTAGAAAGACGAAGAGTGCGGGGAGATATGATAGAAGTATTCAGGTGGGTGAAAGGAATCAATAAAGGGGATATAGATAAAGTTCTTATAATATCCGAGCAGGACAGGACTCGAAGCAACGGGTTTAAGTTGGATAAGTTTAGGTTTAGAAGGGAGATAGGAAGGAACTGGTTCACAAATAGGGTGGTGGACGAGTGGAACAAGCTTAGCAACTTTGTAATAAGTGCTGGAACGCTGTAAAGTTTCAAAAAGAGGCTGGATAGATTCATGGATGATAGAGAGTGGTAGTAACTCTCGACAGGAGCTGCCATGCACAAGCCAACCGGCCTATTGCAGACTCCTTATTTTCTTATGTTCTTATTTCCTGCTACTAAAACCGCTACTACCACCATTTCCTAGTACTAATACTGTACTGCTATTACCATCACTTCTTGCTATCATCACCACCACTTCCTGCTACTTACGCCAGGGGTGTCAATTCAGATTTTGCATGGGGGGGGAGGGGGTGGAAACACCATTACATGTAAAGAGTAGGGGTAAAAATCCTGCTCCATAGTATTTAGAATTGACCTTGCAAACCTTTGACGTGATGACTACAAAATTAATTACGAAAATGTCATTAAATAGCGTATAGTAAAACTGCTGTGATACATTGTGGGGTACGTGATATTTGGTTCACACTCAGGATTGGATGGAGAAAGGAAACTCACAATGTGCTCTCTGTATACATATTATATTGGATGTACAATGCAGCTTGGTGGCTGGTGCTGGGAGGAGGCAGCGTGGTTACAAGTGTGAGTAGGGAGAGCTGGTTGGTGAGGGTGCTCAGAGGAGGTGTTGCTTGCTGCGGCTGTAGCTAGAGGAAGGGGCAGGTCACGGCCAGGTGTGGTCTTATATAGCAGGGGTAGGCGTGGCTTGATGGTAGACCCCCGCTTTGTTCGGCGTCGCTGGTTACCTGACCTTGACCACGAGGGATACGCTGGTAGATTCGTGGGGGGTCGGCCAGTCAGCGACACACGGCGTTTGTATGGGAGGAATCCACTACAATACTCCCCCTCCCCTCCAGGCGGTGCAGGAGACTCATTGTCGGCAGGGTTGTATCCCACATGTGAGACAACGGGCGGGGGTGTGGATGAGCTGGCGGCTACCGGAGATGACTCTGTCTAGAGACACGAGGTCTGTAGGAGAAGTAGAGGGAGGAGTAGGTTTGTGGATCAGAGAAGGTTTTACAGGTGAGGAATGTGGTGCTTCTCTCGCAGCGGGTACGCAGTCCTCAGTGGCACAGGGTGGGGCGTCTGGGTCTGCGTCAGGAGCAGGGGCCACGTCGGGAGGAGGGTGCAAGACAGGCGCAGTGGGTACCTGAGGAAGAAAAGAGGGTGCCCAGAAATGTTGTGGGCGAGGTGGTGCTGCAAGGGGTAATTGTGGGCAGACTGGCGGAGGAGGAGTGGGATTAATGTGTTCAGGGCGGTGGGAAGGCTGGCGTGGGGCAGTAGCCTTGAATGCAGAAACCGCCTGACGTAGTGTTTGTAGTAGGTCGTGACGGGCAGCAGGAGTGAAGTGGTCAAGGTCAGAAGTAAGGTGAGTGATGTGCTGCTTGATAGTGGCGGAGGTTATGGCGCCTACCCGTCTCCGTCGATGTAGCTTCCCCGTGTGGTTGCAGGGGGCCTCACAGCATCTAGCATTAGCACCAAAATGTTGATGGTACCAACAGGGGGTAGATACACTGTGCTGGGGGCGGCGTCTGAGGCAGGACGGGTGTGTTGGGGTCGGTAGGACGTGGTGCGTGAGTTAGGACCAGGTCCAGCAGCAGGCATGGAGGAGCAGAACTGTTCAATGGTGTCCATCCTGCGGTTCAAAGTTTGTAACAGGTCCCTGATGTCTTGTGAGGTATTGCTCGGCTGAGGGGTGTTGACCCGGCTTACAAGTTCGGAGGTAGGTACTGGTGTGGTCGTTGGGTTGTCCGCGGCAGCCAGGCACGCAGCCGCGCACTCGTTGAATATTCTGTCTGCCGCGGTTGCGTAGAGTTCAGGTGTCGTCGAGTAATCTACTGCGGACAGGATGATACGTACTTGTGTGGGGAGCTTTTGTGCGTGAAGCTGGCGCAGGATAGGGTCGGGAAGTCTGTCTGCATGCCGGGAGTTCAGCCTACACATCTCCCAAAGAAGTCCCGGAGTTGAGTTTCCAAGGGAGACAGAAGATAGGTTCTGCAGGAGACTGGGGCGGGTCCGTTGGCAATGCGTTTTTAAGGCGTCCCACAGGGTGGCGAATTTGTTGTTCTCTGGAGGGTTGGAAATAGTCCGTGAAACATGCGTGGCGACTTCCGTGGACAAGGAAGAGAGCAG